CATCATATGTTTTCTTCATTTTTACTCATTTTGCATAAACCTATTTTTGGGAAATGAGAGTTTTCATCCATAATAATGTAATTCATAATGATGGCGTCATCAAAAATATTAGTAGATTACCAAATGCGCATCTGAAAAACACAATCGACGTATCTGAGCTTTCTTCCCAATATATTCGATGGCGTCATCATTATAAATACCATTATTTGGAATGATATCTCTTTCATATCTCGAAAATAAGGTTTAATATGAGAAAAAATGAAGAAACAATATGAAGGCCATACACAGAAAAATGCGATCTTTTTGAAGGTTTCATTAACATAGGGTAGGTATTGCCACATAACTCGAACAGTGATGTTGTAATCAAATGAGTAGGTCATAGAATGCACAACTGAAGAAGAAAATCGACGTGCCTGAGCGTTTTTCCGCACTGGCCATATTGAGCTTTTAACTAATTTGTTATAACCTCAACATGCTCAATGTATATGTTTACAGATGATAACGACGATCTTTCATGGATCGGCATCAATAATTGCAGCGATAATGAAAACTATAATGAGAACGATGGCGATGAATCCGAAGGATCCGAAATCTAAAAAAATTGTTGATATTGATATTGTTATTTTTCATTGATAGCATGATTTTTGGGAATAAATACTCAAAAAAATTAAATAATTAATAGAAACCTATTTTTATTTTTTGTATTGACTCGGCCGTTACTTGATGAAAATCGACGGCAAATGTAAAAACTTCAGGAACAATAAGATTTCCACAAAATTCTCAATAACACGACATGTTTCGCTAACACAGTAGCTCCATCAGGTGAAATACTGGTACAATGAAAATAGGCACAATATCTACATTAAAATGCGGTACTTTTTATTATCTATGCGATGTGTTGAATGAGAAAAGTATAGATATCTGATACCACAAAAGCTGAAATAAATCCAGCTTTACATTTAGTGAGATAAAAGTGTCCAGTTGATCCAGTCAAAGATAAGACGCATATCAATGCGCAGCGTCTATCACTGCATCAGCTAGGCACTTTTCCCCTACCAAATATAAAGCTGGATGTTCTTCTCCTGTTATTAATTTAACTATTTGTTTACCAAATGTCAGCTTTTGCGGTATCAGTTTACTCAGCGCATATTTTTAACTTCTGTACGTGAAAAGCTGGGGCATAACCTACCACTCTAAATTCGGATGCATACGTTTTTTGATCTATTTGTATCATATTTTGCAGACTGGAACCTTTGACACGATCATCAGTTTTTTTATTATTATTTCACGTGTTTGGCAGGCTGTTGCAACTACACCCTTCGAAAGTGCGCCAGCGAAACTTAGGAAATATTTTCAGCTTTTTGTGCTTTTCGTCATAAAAAAATTCGCTGGCTCCCGGGCTATTATACTTCTAGAAAAGAGCTGAAGTAAGACAATGGCAATAGCAAAAATGACAACGAAAAATACTGCAAATTACATACTGGCAAGGAAAGTGACTTCAGCTAGTCGGGAAAATTTAACAGAGGAAGTGAGATAGGTAATGGATTGCCTCCCAATCGATTTGGTGGTTAGGTTGAAGAATAATTTTAAGACCTCAAATGGGGAATTACTCGCCCAGTTGCCATTTTGAATGATGGATACACGGTATTGAAACAAAATTGATCACATTGGCGTTCTTCTGTTTATTTCTGGGAACATTCCACTGTGATTAGTAGAAATATTTCATCATATTCCACTACAATGAATTGGCCATAATTCGGCCATCATGGCATATCTGTACAAAAAGTGTATTCATCATTCCCATCTTAGAAATAATTAACCAAATCATAGCATTCAGTGAACTTATCATTAAAATCACGCCTAATTATTATTGGATTTTTTATGCATTCAATATCAGAAGCATACAAACTTGACTAAGTTAACCGATTTTCGATGTTTTATTTATTTTAATACTTGAAATTTCATAAGAACTTCAGAAACTCAATAATGGTTCGTTCACCTGATATACAATATACACCGTATCAAAAGTCAATAATAAATACGTTATCTTATGGCGCCAACTCAAATACATTTTTCAATATAATGTTTATATTATATAGACATGGGAATGTACACGAACGATTTGTTTTCAATTTCCTGGTTAATTTGAATTTTGGCTGTACAAACGTCAGAAGTGAACCATTTTTACCCATTTTTTTTAGCAATACAATGCCTTTACTGCATTTATTGCATAATATCAGAAGACATATTATGGGTTAACATTATTAGAGCTTTGGAAAAACAAATGATAATCAAAATTTCAATAAAAAACTACTACACATATGTATGAATGTGTAATGTACATAAATTTTGATTCGATCACTAAAACTATTCCAGGACAATGTCGTCGTTTGGTGTTAGCTAGAAGCTATTTTTTCTGTTGAGATATCACAAGAATACTTTATCATCTCAAAATGATGTGTTATTGTTACTGAAAATATTCAATTCAGTATTCAGTATTTCAATAAAAATATTATATTTACATAACTTTAATTGAGTGAAAAAAAGTACCTACATAATGGGTCATGAAATTCTTCGAAATATTAAAGCACACTGAGTTTGCATTTGATATAGGACCAAATCATGGGGTAGAAAAGTAAGTACGTGAGCGAATCGCAATTCCACTCTTTACAATGAATATAAGTAAATTTAATATTTTCTATTCGTATTCAACAGTTTTTTGATTATCTTATCTTTTGTTCATGTGAATCTGATGAAACAGGAACTCACATGGCAGGTATCCTTGAGGAGTAGCTTGCTCCCCTAAGTTTTCTATTTTTGATAATAAGGAATTTTTGAAATATCTATGAGATGAAACACCATCAAATTTTGGTCATTCAATGAAAAATCCTGTTATTTTTCCAATATTTTGACTCAAAATTATATTCTCAAAACAACTATGTATATTCATCAAATACTGTCTGTATTCATCACTTTCTATTTCATAAAATAATCACTGATATTTTTTAAATGTAGTCAAGTGAATTCGCTCAAAACTGTTATTTCTAGTCATAGAAGCATGGATACAATTTCATTTCCCCGTGTTCAACATTCATTTACCTGTTTTTTCTAATGAAAAGATGTTGGCTAATCAAGTTGAAAAAATAACATTTTTCCATTAGTTTAATTTCATACAAAATGTTTGGATGAAACTCAAATAATTATTTTCTGATATAATGAGGTCAGACCCGAAAATCTCTTGCTGGCCTGAAAACGCTTCTGCTCAATGCGCAGGAACCCTAAACTGTCGTACGTGACAGCGAGTCATGTTTCTTGGTGTTCGGAAACATGAGTAAGACTGAGTAAGATATATGACATGTCTCTAATGCCCATAATTCATGTTCTCCAGTTCGATCTCCGTAAGTCTTAAAGCATTAGTGGTCTAGATAGTAGTTAATATCGGTGTGACTAACATTTTTAGTCTCACAAGTTGGCGTTACTAGAGCGTGAGATCTATGTCAAAGTCAAAAGTCCCAAAATTTTGTCGGATAGTTCCAACGGTTGTGTCCTGTTTCATCAAAAATATTCTGAAAAAATGATGTCTATATAAACAAATGAAAAAACTCAAGTTATGGCAAGACTTGAGCAGACTTAAGGTTTTTTTGCATCATTTGTCAAAAACCAGAAATTGGTCATTATATGTCAAAAAAATGCAATTTCAAAATTTACTTGAATTTTGAACCGCGCAATTTTTGTTGAACGTTTAACCCACCAGCCGCTTCGGTCCAAAATGACGGTTAGTAATTATTGTGAAGATCCATTTCAAAAATCAACAGAGGCAACATTTCGAAAAATTTCAAACCCTTTCCGAAGTTTTTTTTTCAATATTTATACAAAAGAAAATATAAGGGCGAGCTACTCATATTTCATTATTTTGACTGACTGATCATTCATTTTATTGTGTGCTCTTGTTATCCTCGATTCCAGTGAAAATAGCATAATTTGTTTTTATTGAAATATCTCAGATTTCATTCAAAGATGACATTTTATTCAGATACGTTTACAGTGACTGGTAGAAAGATGTTTTGTCTTTCTTCACCTGATATCGTAAGAAACGGCTGAATGCGGATATCTCGGCAATCAAGACTAGTGACATACTATGTTAGTAAGCGACAATGGCAATTAGAGCTAATTTTTGAAGCCACTAATTTCGTATCTTGGTTCAGGATAGTTCTATCCTAACATTCAAAATAACATGATTTTTCATAATTCCCATATTTTACCTTTATATCGACAGTCTAACTGAACCATAATTCTTATCATTTTGTACTAATAAGAACGGTTTTTCTACTGTAGCATACTGTACTGCGATTGGAATAATATCAATAAATATCTAAAACGATTGCAAATGAGAGAAAGAAGTTAAGGAACCAACATAAAATTTTGAAGATATACTGGGTGCTTTCAAAATTGAAGCGACAAATAACATGAGGTATTGTATGAGACATAATGTTTGGATTTCTTTAGGTACGCTCACCATACAATATCTCTACAACCATAATCCAGTGGCAGAATAAAATTATTCTCCGACCAAAATGTATTTTATTCTGTTTTTTTTTGTCTTCTATTATCAAGTTCATTTATCGCTTCAATTTTGGAAACGTCCTGTATTGTGAAAGAAAGCTTTCTGAACTTTGTATTTTGAAATATTATATAAAACATGGCTGATCTGTAAACTGATTTATATTTCGTCTTATTATTCATTTATCAGTGTAGTACAAAAATAACAAATAATTAATCTACAGTCCTAGATGTCATAAATAAATAAACTAGAAATAATAACAACAATAATAATCAAGGTACAATTTTGGTAGCACTCAAAATAATTTCACTGAAACTTTCACTTCTCTTTTCAAAACGAACTATTCTTATTATGAATACTAGAATATCGACAAGATCAACACCACATCAAAATTAGGACAATGAAATTTGGTGTTCATCAATCAATAATATTGCACTTACTATACCGAATTAGGCGGAAAACTCGTCGAACTATTGGAATGAGCTAGACTCAGCATTGAACCTGAAAGACTGGTATCATCTTCGTAGCTGTCATGTGACATGTCATTTATTGCCATTGACATTTCCGCTATAGCCAATGCACTGAAAAAAAAAACAACGAAATACTAAACCTCATTTTTCAAAACTTGTTACAGAAGTTAAGAAACTACGAAGGCACTGTACGGTCATCATGAATAAGCATATTTTCGCAACATCCATGTTGGTTGCAATTAGAGCTTGATTGATAGATGAATCTGGCAATAAGTATATTTGCAAGATAAATGTCAATTATCTTAATGGGGCTGTGCACGCTAGTTGAACTTACGCGACAAACATATTTTATATTGATCTTTCCATGTAAAAATAATAGTTGATACAATCGTTCATTATATGAAATCATCAGAAATACTCTGCTTCAATAACTAAAGTCGGCACCTTTTTAAAACGCTAGCTCTTGATGATATACATCACCGACAAACAATTCAACATCCAATAAGAGTATAACCACGTATCAAGGTGTACTGGGATATACACAATACATAAGTCGTATCCTATATAGTAAGATTAGATTCGTCAAGGTCAAACTTTTCCGCGTTTTATCGCTATGGAAATGTCGTGGATTTATGTATAAAACTCTGAGGAGAGAAGGGTTGGTGAAAGTGAACTAGTTTGGGTCAGTACTTCAAGATGATAAAATACAATTTTTCAATGATTATCTTCCAATTGAGCTCAGAGTACTCCAAGCGTCCCCAGATAATCCACTAAAACAGGTATCTATGTTGCCAACATATCCAGGGCCACCTCTCAAAAGCTGGGATTTGCGCAGAGGAGTATTTAAACTTTCAGCAGCTATTATCTGCTGTTTCATCAACATGTCGTCTAGGGTCGATCATGTCATAAATGGAAATATTCCCAAGATTTTATAACCTCCAAACGGCCAAAAAAATCCAACACCTACCTCTTCTCCCTATCCTCCCTAGGTATGCACGATGCACCACGAACATTCTAGGAATTTTCTTTAGTGCGCTCCAAGAGAAAGAAAAAAACTATTAGTGCAGATACCAAACAACAGCCACTATAACCATTCACAAAGGTCAAGTTCAGATGTCTGGGGTTCAGCTTCAAAATACTCCCTGGGGTAGCTGGAGTTGGCGTTGATATGCAAACTTTATATGAGGCTCATCATCGTATCGGCCGATATCGGAAGCCGATAGACCGGTATATTTCCTTTATTGGAAAACAAATTTGAATCTTTCATCTGACGATATTCCGATATAGGTAATTCTTCAACAGATGATATTATATCATATTGGACTTGTTGGCCGTTTCTTCTTTGCCACACAATGGAGCAGATTTCGCCAATTGCACTTACGTTTTTCTTACTCAATATTTTCCCAAATATTGCCAAAATGGGCTTGTTTTTTTGTTACAGAAGACAATCATAATTAATATTCCACCGCTGAGTGTTTACTTTGAACAAACACTATAATATACTAGTCACTGGATGGTATCAGTTATGGTATCAGGTTAAGAGTTCGGACACAGAAATGACAACTGTCCTGCTGTGTAATGAATTGCGGGCATTCTGAAGGGAATGGCGATTTCATTTCTTCAATTTTCCAAAGGAAATATCAACCATTCCTTTATAACGAAGGAATGTACCAGGTGAACAACTAAGAACGGCTGTCATATCTATCATTCTTACATCTTTGATAGTTAATATCTTCCGTTGGCGAAAAGCTAATATGTTGCTGTTTTCGTTGGTCTGTTGAGAATAAGTTTCTCTATTACATACCATTAGATTTATTCTATCTCAAACTTGTACCATTATTCGTTGCTGAGATATGGCCAGCAGCCGTTCTTAGTTGTTCACCCGGTACGAAACGGCCTGGATGGAAAATTAATTTAAAGACAAGCGAAATTTGTGAGGTACAGTCGCATTGAAAAAAAAAGCGTACAAGTATATTACAGAGAGAAATTCACTGAATGTTGACAGTAAAGTTGTCATAGGTTCTCGAAAACACAAAGCATTGGCTGAGCCAGTTTTACACAACTAGAACTAGGATCCCGAAATCCTCTCTTTTTAATACTTGTACGCTTTTTTATTGAATACGACTGTAAGTAAATACATTAAAATTCACTTATTATAGCAGATTGGAATGAAAATATATTTTAGGCCCATTTTCAAACAGAAGGTTTATAAGATCCGTTGTTCCATTGATTCACAAGTCAGACTTGGAATGAAAATATATTTTAGGCCCATTTTCAAACAGAAGGTTTATAAGATCCGTTGTTCCATTGATTTACAAGTCAGACTATTGAAAAAAAATTCCAATATTATCATGAGACAAAATGCAAAACAAAATTCTTTTATTCTTTTATTCACTCAAACCACTGTAATATAGAAAATAGAAAAGGACATAAGTTCAGCTGTGTCCGAACTCTTATCTAACTAATACCATCCAGTGGCTCTATAATATACCTCCAACGGTTAAACACTTCAGCCTCTACTGTATTCTGAACCTCAAACAGAACCGAATTGAAGCGAAAATTAAAAATATCATGATACAACAAAAGACAATACAAGCTGGGTTAGGTTAGGACCTGCAGAAACGTGCGACGACGATAGCGATAGGTGCATTCAGCAATATTGATAGCCAAATTTATCCATGTGATAATACATAATTGGGTAAGGTTTGCATAGGTATTAAATGGAAACACTGACCTATTAACAACAAATGAAAAGATGAGGCTAGTTCTGTTTTACGCTAAATTAAACTGCGCATACCATGTATGGCTTAGAAAAGTTGATTGACGAGTATGCGCAATGCGTATATCGTCCAAGACGACCTTAGATAATTCAAAGAATGCCAAATATCATCGCTGTGACTGCAATATACCGTATAAAATAAAGCAAAAAAACCATACATACAAACAAAACTACTTATTATACCCAATACATCAAACACAAACAACGTATAAATGGCTGACGAACGACCGATCATGAGATTACATAAAAGCCAGCTCTGATAAAATCTATAACAAGTATAGGTAGGTATATGTTTTAGCAAGACACCAAAATAGAGATCAAAGGCTGTGCTACCGCTGAAACATACTGCATAGGTGCATCAACCAATTTTAATACTCGCTTGTTGATCGTAGAAGTTCTTGGAGCTTCCTTGAGTTTTGTACTTAAATTTGTTGTTCCCGAGTCAGTGGTCAAATATAACAAAAATGTCATTTTGAAATGAAAAATTATCAATATATTTTTTCCTTCAGGAACGACTAAGCAAAACCCATAAAAATAACATACCCAGTATTGAAGTTATTGTAGTGGATGTTTATAATATATTGTTTAATTATATCATTGAAATCAGGTACCATTTCGAAACAGTCCAACACAGCTTTTCCGAAAGTGTTACGATAGTTAGATTATTCATCAATTTATTGTTTATAGTAATAGGTAGGTTATCAATTAGGTATTGTAGTTACAGAGAACATTCCGGTTTGAACTCTGAAAGAACTAATAACTATTCTATAATAAACCAGTAAAAAGTGAACTATCTTCTGCTGTTCTTCCCTGCACTCCTGAACATGTTTTGATAACTCGAACTACGATCTAATTGAAGACAGGACATTACATTATTAGATCTTGAAATAAACATGCAAACTTTTGACAGTGATATTTACCTAAATCCTTGCCTCATGGATTCATCGTCAAAATCTACGAGCTCCAGTTCTTGCCTCTCATGGAGAATTCTTATTCTTTCGCCTCTCTCTTCAATAAACCTCTGATTTTCAGCAGTCATCTAGAAAAAAATATGTGTAAATATAAATCACCCAATCTGAAGAGTACTTTTACAAACCTTTTGTTCCAACAATGACTTTCTGACAGCTACTCGCTCTTGTAGCTCATTCTTTTCCCTATCCCTCTGTGCTTGAGCCTGCATTTTGTTTTTGTTTTGGTAAGCTACTAGTATTTTTAATTCGTAATGTAAACGCTCTTTTATCTGCTGACACTGAAGCTGAAAAATATAAAAGTTTGGAGAGTGAAAAAATAGTATATTGAAGTATAAGTGGATATTGAGGTCGAAATAGAGCAAATGTTTGAAGGACTATTTATCCACGAATACTTAACGCTATTTTTATTATTGGTACACTTTGAGATCATAAATATGGAAATAACAACTAATAATGTGATATTGTTGAACATTTGTTGGTGATATTTTAATTGAAGTTCCATGTACTACTATCAGATCGATAATTAAAATATTGACATTTTTAGAAATCACGTTTCTCGGGTCGTTGATGTTCCGTGGTAACTTTATAAAAAAACGCGCGTTTTTGAAATTTGGATTCAAGCACTCAGCGTGCGTTCTTTAAATTGAGGTGCCAATAAAAAAAATATATTTTTTGGACAATCAGATTTTATCGGGATCTTTGGGAGAAAATGATTAGGATCTGGATCAAGCAGGTTAAACGTAATTCTGCCAAACTCGTTGAGGTTAATAACAAATTGAACTGTCTCTACAACAAAAGTTCTCATGCTCTACGAATGAATTTACATAGTCTTGAAATTGATACTATGATTTCTTCTTGTCTTAGTTTTATTGACGATCACGGCCAGCTGAACAGAATACTTCAAGTGGTGTTCAGGTTCAACTTACAACCCTCAACTTCAGCAGGTATCTCCACCTCATCTACATAACTTTAAGCCTTCGATTTTACTTGATTATTTGGGATTTTCTCCCCTCGTTTCTATAAAATATAAATATGAATATCATGTCTATATATGTGTAGTAGGACATATCAGAGGGTTTGTGCCAAAATAGCACTGCATTTAACAAATTTTTCTATCAGGGAGCCTAAAAGAAAGATCCAATAGCTCTTCAGTGACACTTTGTTTGATAATTTTCGAAAACATTCTCAATAAACGCATTGTATAGTTCATCAACAAAAAATATAGGTTTGATTCTAATCACTTTGGTTATCAAGAAAACAGTGGAACACAAGCAGCAGTATTACAAGTGGAGAATCAATCCAGAAAAGACTTGATTCGGGAAATTAAGTGGTAGCTGTTTTCATTGATTTCAAAAAGGTTTTTGACACAGTTGATCATACAAAACTTTTAGAAAACTTGGAATAATTGGGACACAATCATCACGAAATCTACCAACTCGGTTTCAAATAAATTATTAATTAATAAGGGTATTCCACAAAGCTCTGTTTTAGGGCCTATACTATATTTAATTTGTGTTCAAGATATCAGTGAAATTGGTCTATGGTAAATATACCGTGTATGCAGATGATACAGTACTTTTATATAGAAGCAAGAATAGACTTGAAAATATTTGAAAAATGGCTCCACTCTAACCTTTTATCGATAAATACAAAAAAAAATTACGTCAGTCTTAAAATGAAAATATACAGAGTCGTATCAACTATTTAATGAATGTTTGGGGATCTTGTTCAAAAAATAATTTCAATAAAATATCAACATTATATAGAAAATCGTTGAAGTACTGTATCGTCTCCTATTTGATAGTCAAACCAATCAATTGAATGAAATAACAACGATGAAATATACAGAATTGAAACTCTTAAAATCCCAAATAATATCATAAATAAAAAATTGGAGAAGAATATTACGGAATTCTTAAATTCATAATCATGAAACTAGACAATATAACTTGTTTCACCTTGACGCCGCTAGCTCCATACTCGGACACAAAAAAATCACTCATTCAGCCCTAACTGAGTTTAATAAACTACCTGCCAATATCAAAAATATATCCATGTTGGTAATGATAACATTGTATAAGACGATAATGATATAGTTGAAAAGACGAACAAAAAACAGGATCAATAACAATTATGTGGATTAGTTAAATTGTAAAATGTAAAAAAAGTGAAAATGCATAATCTGAGCGGCAAGTATTACTCTTGTCGGTATAACGTTTGTACATTGATTATTGAAAAAAAGTAATTGTTTTTGTTTGTCAGCGTTAGATGTAATTCGCAAAAACACGTTACTTCATTTTTCTAGACATTCCGTTTAACAAATACTCAAGATAAGTTCTCACATCTTGTGTTAAAATACCAATTGGAGTTAAGTATAAACTGTTTAACATAGTATAAACTGTTTAACATAATTATATGTTCTATGAAAATTCGATCATCAATTAGCAAGAGATTAATATCAGAAGCTCGAATCATATGGCTAACTGCATACTTGTTTTTCACGGCTCCTTTTAATTTGTTATTCAGATTAGGGGTTTTAAAATATTCAGAATTTTTTGCCAGCTGTGATGTTTTACATACGCGCGTTTTAGAATTTTTGTCAGTTACTTGTTTTTTCCATTTCACCGACGATATGTTGTTTTCTCAAGAAATTATTAATTCTACCAGATTTTTAATATCCAAATGAGTTGTCATTTTGAATGTACCAAATATAGAATATTCATCTCACCTCTTGACTTTCATCCAGTTTTATACACTGTTTTTGTAACATCTCGGCAATACTTGTTTCATACTGATCTCCCAATAGAGCTAGCTTTCGCCTCTGTTCCTCCTTTAGTTTCTTGATTACTGCTTTTTGACTTTCCTTTGGAGTGTTCAGAAGAATTTGCGCTTTGAGGGCTTTATACTGCTTTGTTTGTACTTTACACGTTTCTCTGAATTGCTTCCGAACCAACATTTCCTTTTGCTGTAAAATTACAAATATTCATGTAGCAAGAACAAAAAGTGATTATTCCTAAATAAGACATTTGAATTCATGAAGTTTCAGGGAGAACAAGTCTAAGGTAAAGCGATAGTTTTTCTGCAATGAACTCAAAAGTCGTCCATTTTTTGTTTTCCAGACTATTAGTTCCTAGAGTTGACGTTTCTCTTACTAGCACAATGAAATAATTATCATAAATGTTGCTAGGCAACTCTTCAAGTGTCTAGAAGCTGGAGTTGAAGATCAACTCCTAGGAACTAAAACTGAGTCAGCTGACAACTGATACCACAGAACTCAAAGACCTAGAAGGCCAATATCGTTCTATTCGAGTGTTCCCTAACGTGGCTCGCACGGCAAATGTGAGCATGCGCAGTAAAGACGCGACCATGCCAGGGGCGGATTCAGAATTATTTGATTACCAGGTTTTTGTGGCTTTCTTGAAAGAGCAGAACATTGTGAAAAATTCATATGATATTTGTTATGATAAATTCCTTCATGTTATCAGGAGTAATGGTTCGTTGTATTTTCCATCAACTAAAAAATTTCATTGGATAGAAATGAGCGAGCTAATATACAGGGTGGTTCAGGCTATATTAGCAATAGAAAGCGGCATGAATATTATAAGTTTTTTGAAAAAAGCTCTTCCAGGGAGATACATCCCTCTGAAGTCCAGTTTTGAAAATATTCTTCTTGCTACAATTCTCAGAACATAAAACAAAATTTGGTGCAAATACTTATGAAATGGTTACTCTGATCGTTGTTTGACGCAACTAAGTTTTGTCAAAATTGTCCAGTGGAGTAGATACAGGGGAGTTGTTTCCCTTTTGCCGAACTTTTTATTAAACCACTGAAAATTTTTTAGAATTGAGATATTTTCCCAAATTCCCTGTTCCATTCAGAAAGAAAGACACTCTTGTGGAATTTCGAATTGGAGCTTCGTTTAAGAGTTAATTGAATTAAAAAAAAAACGAGACCTCGCTAAAATTGGATAGTTCAGTTGTTTTGAAAAAAACAGGACTCAACATCTCAATAGTGGCATCTCGAATCTCGAACCAAAGCAATCATCCAAGCAAAGTGGCAACTCTTGGTTAGCCTAAAATTTGATTCAATATCATTGATTTCAGAGATCTGTAACTTCTTGCCAGATATTTTAGTTTTGGTAATTTAATCATGACAACAAAATAGTATATTGGAATCATACGAGTGGGAAATTGCCATTGTGTGTTTCAGCTATAGACAAAAAAATAAAATAGCACAAATTTTGTCGATGATATTAATTTACCTGAAGTAAGACATTCCTGGAATTTGTTCTTTATCTTGTCACCAAATCATTTATTTTGAAAAAACTTTACACAAATCAGTCAATGAATGTCGAATCAAATAAGTACTGCTCTTGTCACTATGACTACACCCATTAACCATACTAGAGTGAAATACCAAAACTCTTCAATAATCTCAAATTCACTAACGAAAAACGTTGATGGTTGAACGCAAAGCAGAACACTGAAAGACTGAAACTAATCCGGCTCTGTCTTGAGTCTACGTCTAGACAAAATGACAAAGGTACATCCTCACACAGTTGCCAGATGAACTCGTAAGAAATTTGAAGTTCATAATAATTCATCGATCTCTTGTTAGCCATTCAATTAATATCAGTGAGTCTATGAATTTTGTCGTGAAAATTTCATGATATGATTTTTGTAAAGCTGTTGATAATCAGTTACAAGAAGTTTTGTAGGAAATAAGAACTACATCCGAATGCATAAATATGAGATTTGCGTATGAGAATATATAGCTGACAATGTTGCCGACAATGTGCGCATGATCACCATTGCCGTAAGTGTTGTATTTAGAGATATACTTGAAATATGTATCATCATCAAGTGGCAACCCTGTCTAGTTTATGACAAGTGTCCTGTGTCACATGAGGAGAGGGGTTTGTCAATTGTCAGAAGTGACGACTCGAGCATTATCCATTATTAATTTAACTTCAGAGTTGTACAATTGTAATAAATGAAAGTCAGTAAATATGAATATTATTAATTAAATATTGATACATATAAGAAATATAACATGGCGCAGTCTAATGGGAATTGATGAACCGAAAAAGTATCCAAGGATGGCAGAGAAGTATAGAGATTGATATTAGAGAAACCAAGTCACATCCGCCACGTTAAGATGGAGTTCAGAGTGCCAGCAACCTTAACGTTTGAAGGGAACCTAGCAGAGAACTTCAAAAAGTTCAAACAAAATTTCGAAATTTACATGATAGCCTCTGGAAAAAGTGCAAAACCTGATGAAGTAAAGGTAGCTACCTTCCTGAATATGATAGGTGAAGAAGGCGTGGAGGTCTTCAATACATTAAATCTCACAGTTGAAGATAGGAAAAAATACACCAAAGTTATAGCTGAATTTGAAACTTACATGAATCCTAGGAAAAATATAGTTTATGAGAGGTTCAAATTTTTTACCAGAAAGCAGGAGGAAGGAGAAGCTTTTGATCATTTTTTGACAGACCTAAAACGACTGTCATCTGCATGTGAATTTGGAGATCAACGAGAGTCGCTTATACGGGATAGAATAGTTCTTGGAATTAATGATAAAGGTTTACAAGAAAGGCTTATTGGAAAAGAAGATTTAAGTTTAGAAAAAGCAGACATGGAGTGTCGCACAGCTGAAATTACAAAACAACAAGTGAGAAATGTACAAGAAGAACAAGTCCATGCAGTCTCTAAAACCAGGCAGTCCAATTGGGGATTACAGAGAAATGAACAGAAGAAAGACAATGTCGGGAAGGGACCTAACACATCTGGATATGTTTATTTATGTTTTAGGTGTAGAACAAAACATGGGCCACGGCAGTGCAAAGCATTTGGGCAAAAATGCACAAAGTGAGTACGAAATGTTAGAGAAGTTACTGAAAATGATGAGGATGATGAACAAGATTTAGAGATAAGTACTATTAGTATAATTAATGAAGTTAGGGAGGTTAACAAAATTACAGTGTGGTTTGAGACTATTAAAGTCAATGATAAATTTATTACATTCAAGATTGATACAGGGTCAGAAGTAAACATTTTACCACTTAAAGAGTATAATAAAAATTTTAAAGATTGTGAAATGCTAGAAACAAATGTTACTCTGCAGGCTTATGGAGGTTTCAAAATACAACCTTTAGGTATGGTAAATCTTACAGTGGAATTTTCAGGTAGAGAATTTGAGTTGGAATTTTGTGTTGCTAATGTAGAATCATCCTCTATATTGGGATTAGTGGCTTGTGAGAAGCTAGGTATTATAAAGCGTGTAAACACTATTGAACCCTCTCATGATTACATACCAAAGGATAGGGAGACAGAAAAAAAAGAATTTATTAAAAAATATATAGAAAATTTTAAAGGCCTTGGTAAATTTGGGGTAGAGTGTGAAATCAAGGTAAAGAAGGAAAGTAATCCTATTGCAAGACCTGCTCGTAGGGTACCATTGAGCCTCCAAGCGAAACTTAAAAGCAAATTGGATGAACTTGAGAAAATAAATATTATCTGTCCTGTTAAAAATCCTGGAGAATGGGTAAGTAATCTAGTTATCATTGAGAAAAATGATGGAAGTCTCAGATTGTGTCTTGACCCTCAAGCCTTAAATAAAGCTATTTTAAGAAGCTATTATGCAATCCCAACCTTGGATGACATATCATCTAAACTGTCAGGTAAAAATTTCTTTACAGTTCTGGATTTAAAGGATGGATATTATCAGTGTGAATTAGATGAAGAGTCAAGTCAATTGTGTACGTTCAGTAGCCCATTTGGGTGTTATAGATTCTTGCGCATGCCCTTTGGAATCTCCATAGCCCCAGAATTTTTTCAAAAAGTTATTGAGGAGAGCTTTGGAGATATTGAAGGGTTATGTCTTTACTTTGATGATATTTTGATTGCTGCGGACACAGAAGCTACACATGATCAAATCTTGAAGTTAGTGATGCAGAGGGCTAAGTCTATAAATGTCAAGTTTAATCCAAATAAGATTCAGTATAAAATGAATTGTGTTAAGTATCTGGGTCACATATTTAGTGGTGAAGGTATAACACCTGATTGTGAGCGAGTTAGAGCAATAAGTCATTTAGAAAGTCCTAAAACTGTCAAAGAGCTTCAAAGTATTTTGGGCATGGTCAATTACTTCCATAGGTTCATACCAAATTTTTCAGAATTGACAAGTCCTGTAAGAGAATTATTAAAGAAGAAAAGTCACTTCCAGTGGCTTCCATGTCATGAGAAGGTCTTTGAAAAAATTAAAAGCATTTTAAGTTCCAGACCTGTACTAGGTAATTTTGACCCTGACAAAGAAATTGTTATTGAAACTGATGCATCTCAAAATGGGTTGGGTTGCACATTGCTTCAGCAAAATAAGCCAATATACTATGCATCACGGAGTTTAACAGACACTGAAAAGTCTTTTTCACAAATAGAAAAAGAGTTTTTGGGAGTTGTATTTGCCACTCAGAAATTTCATTATTTCATTTATGGGAAACCTGTAACCATAATTACAGATCACAAACCACTTTTGGGAATTATGAACAAAAATATCCTGCAAATTTCATCAGCACGATTACAACGAATGAAACTTAAACTTTTCAAGTATAACATCAACTTACAATATCGACCAGGCAAGACTTTATATATTTCAGATTTGTTGTCTAGGTCATTTATTAAAGAAGTAGTGGACGATGACCCTGAGTTGGTTGAAAAGCATCTGTCAATTAGTCCCAACAAAAGGGAAGAGTTTCAGAAAGAAATTATGAATGATCAAGAATTAAGACTAGTGATAAATTATGTAGAAAATGGGTGGCCCAAAGTTGTTAAATCCATTCCATATTTTGTAAGGCCATATTGGCCTCATAAAGAAGAGATAGCCTTTGTGAATGGTTTGCTGTTCTTAAATGATCGTTTAGTTGTACCCAAATCTTTAGTAAATAAAATGCTTCAGTTACTTCACGAGAATCACATGGGTATAACCAAGACTAGGTTGAGGGCAAAAGCAAATTTATTCTGGCCAAAAATGGCCATTGAGATTGAAGATTTCATAAAAAAATGTAAAGTTTGTGAAAAGTACCGATGCAATAATATCAAAGAACCAATGATTCCTCACTCTATGCCTGGGAGGCCATTTCAGAAAATTGCTAGTGATATATTAGAGTATGGTAGAAAATCATACATAGTGGTTATAGATTATTTCTCACGTTGGCTAGAGGTTTTGCCAGTAACAAATAAAACATCAGAAAGCATTATTGAAGTTTTGAAAGTATTGTTTGCAACTCATGGTATACCTGAAGAATTTATTTCTGATAATATGCCTTATAGTTCACATAATTTTAAACAATTTGCAAAGGATTGGGGATTTTGTTTGATTACGAGCAGCCCATATTATCCAAAGGCTAATGGGTTGGCAGAAAAGGCAGTGGCAATAGCAAAAAGTTTTTTAAGAAAAACAACTGACTTATCTTTGAGTCTACTAGAATATCGAAATACTCCTGTCACTGGTCTAGAGTTCTCCCCAGCCCAACTGTTGATGAATAAAATGTTGAATTCAAAATTACCTATGTCTAGCAAAACCTTGGTGCCCAATAATGGTGATATCAATTATAAAAACATTCAAAGAAAAATAGAAAACAAAAGAAATCTTGATAAAGCATATTATGATAGAAGTGCCAAACAGAGAGACAGTTTTTCAGAAGGGGAAAATATTGTACTGAATAAAAATAAGGAGTGGGTCCCTGCAAGAATTGAGAAAAAGTTGAATGTTCCACGATCATATATAGTTAGGGATGAGCAGAATCATATGTATAGAAGGAATAGTAGCCAGTTGAGAAAATCTGTGAATGAGCCTAATTTTTTTGATTACGATATAGGTGAAGCAGGTGATAGTTATAGAAGGAATAGTAGCCATTTAGGAACGTCTGTGAACGAAAATACTGATTTAGGTGATGTATCAAATGTGCCTGTAGTTCCTGTAGATTTAGGTGATAGGGTTGAAGAAAGAGAATGTACCATAAAGATAGAGCCTAGGAAGCGAATTAGGAATGCACCTATTAGATTTAAGGATTATGTTTTATCTTAGTTATTAAATTTAAGGATTATGTTTTATCTTAGTTAGAAAAAAGGGGAGATGTTGTATTTAGAGATATACTTGAAATATGTATCATCATCAAGTGGCAACCCTGTCTAGTTTATGACAAGTGTCCTGTGTCACTTGAGGAGAGGGGTTTGTCAATTGTCAGAAGTGACGACTCAAGCATTATCCATTATTAATTTAACTTCAGAGTTGTACTTGTACCAATAAATGAAAGTCAGTAAATATGAATATTATTTATTAAATATTGATACTTATAAGAAATATAACAGTAAGCACACTGGTTGTATCAGATTTCAGCGATTTGTCACACTTGCATTAGCCTTCTAGGTCTACGAGTTCTGTGACTGATACGGGATAGCTATTGACGCTGACGTGCTCAAGTGAGTCACAATGGTCGTTACTTCACTTATATTTTATTAATTAAATATCAATTGTTTTGGTTGCAGGAAAAATAGCGTGTTTCATTTTGGTTGTGACACTTTTGATCTGAATGCAACAATGTATCATTTTCTCAATTTTAATATACAAATTGACACTTCAAACTAACAACCAGTTTGAAAAAACAAAGAACTTTGCCATTGTCAGACTGAATATTCCATGGAATGAAGGAAATGTCAAATAAAATAACATAATTTGTTAGGAAGAACAAGTCATAGTTCAAAATTTTAGTGTGGATATGGCAAACGGTCTGCAGACAGTGGTCCAGTTGAATACTTGGATTATCTATCGCGTATATACAGGGTGTCCCAAAATTAGTCTGCCATACTTTAGAAGCAGATTTTTCGACCAAAATGGGAAGAAAATTTCCAATATTTCCTGAATATTTCCGAAACGCCATGTGATCAAGTGATGCAATCCGGTACAAGAACTTAACTTTACATGCCCAATGCAGTGAAAATGATATTATTCAAAAATTTCATTCAGGAGTGTTTAATACAGGCAGGTAGTCAATAACATATTTGAATTCTCGCTCATTTCTAAAACAGCTGCTAGTGACGCTGAATCATATTTTTCGACAAAGACAATATGGACGATTTCTGTTCACAGTTGTAGAATCCAATGTGAAGTTTTTTGAGACAAAAATGCAAATTTGTTCTTTCTCAATTCGATTACGGTTCATTAACTTGAATGTGTCTATTCTGTGTTTGAATATGCGTATTACCATTTTGAAAGTGTTGTTCACCATATTAAATGTGTAGTCTCAATTTGAAATGGAAAAGGTATTGGTTTGAAATCATTCAAATGAATATTTCCGTTATTAGGACGTTTCCTGAAATGAATACCTGAACAGCAAGACTAGTGTGAATTATTTGACCTCAAGATTTTGACATATGTTTTTTTGGTTTAAAATAATTTTCATGAATGGTTTAAAATAATTTTCATGACCATCTATTCTGTGAATGCAGGAGGAAAAAAATATCTACATGAGTAAAACACATTATCTCCACACATTGATTCCATGTGATTTCATTGAAATATGAGTTTTGTATGAACTTTGAATGTTCATATGACCATTAATAGTACACCAACAGTAGTTTTGTGTAAATCAATCAAACTTCAAAGCCAAGATATAAAAAAAATGAACATAAAAATTATGCAGCTCATTACAAAATTGCTCATTTTTCAACTTGTGATACAAATAAATTTCTCTCAATTTCAATAAAATGATGAATTAAAAAATTGGTAGTAATAAAATTCTACAAGAGTGACGAAAATACTTTGTTTTTACCAAAATAAGTGTTCAGATTACTGGAAAAAATATCCACTTTACTGAAATAAAAAAGTAATTTACCTTTAATGATTTTGGTTGCTGCTTTAGTTCTAAAGCATGTTTCTTCCGCATCTCACGTTCAGTTCGTTTCATGTACTCTGCTTGATTGGCCAACTCAGTGTCATGCTGGTTTTTCACCTGTAATAAATACAAATTCAAGTTACACATTGTTTTGTGAGATAAATTCAAGATGGTTTCTGGATCATAACTTATGAAGCTTTATTATTGTATAATCAAATACAACAGAATTACAACTACGAAATAGCCACAATGCTCAAAAATTGGAATAAGGTTTTTTTTTCGATACTCGCTCAGTTTATAAATTGTGGGTTCGTTCGGCTCTTTCTCTCAATACGATCCTATTCTTCAACATCAAATCTTCCCTTCTGGAATGTACCTGATAAAAATGCGTTGGAAAATGTTCTATATCCTACCAAGAAATTTGAATGTGGCAAATTTTATGACCTGAACCTATATTCCATGCCGGCCGCATCATATTCTGTATAGAGTGAATTCATTGCCCGTGTTCTCACAGTTGGAAACTGCTCAAACTCGCATCTTTCTCCTAATTCTCTCAATTTGCCAAACCTTCGATATTTATGTCATGTACGCCCGTGTACTGTCAGTTCCCGCTTTTTCCATCAATTAATTTGTGGTTATGTCTGATTGTCAGTGCTTGTCATAGTGTCCGTACTCTGATATACAAAAAACTTCGAAACAGCAGTGTCAAGTACATTTAGGAACTCTAGGTATAACTAACCTGTTCTTCTCTCAAAGAATGTACGGCCTTCTGCTGGCGGTATTCGAGCTCCTGCGTCTTTTCATGGTGTCTCAGCAACATGGAATGCGCCTGCTCCAACTGATGTTGCCGCTTATTCAACTCTTGGCGCAGCAAATCTTGTTCCAACTGATGAAACAACATGAGTTTTTTCCGTCGGAATTTCCGCAGCTCCAGCTCGAGATATTCTTTTTGGAGTTGAAGCATCCTTTGCTCTTCTTGGGCGTCGATTAACTTTAAGTTGTCCTTGTGTGTTCTGAAGCAATTTGATAGTGTACTTTTCACCAAAAGTTTGCAATATCGGGTGTTCCAGATTAATGTTCGTGTACAATAACTCGGATTTTTATTCCGTGTGAATAGCTACCTTTACACCTCAACAGCTTCTCATGATTTACAAAGAACAGATAGGACCTGTTCTAGAATATACTCTGATAATATTAGTTTATTCGAAACGTTTACAGAATATACATTGGAACATACAGATAGGTATTTTGAATAAACTGGGGAAAACCTTATGAAGTGAACCTTGTAGTAAGGATAAAAAAACAAATGTACATAGGTCAATAGATATCTAACAATTTTAAATTATCACAAGGAGAAAATGGTCTCATTAAGAAATGAGCCATCGAATTTTGACGAATTTCAAATATTAGAAATTGTATATCTATAATTATTGAAGTTTTGGATTTCAAATGTATTTTATGTTTAATAAAAGTGTATAATATGACTATTAACATATTCATATATATATATGCATGCAAAATTCAATATGTGACTGATTGTTTTGATTCAATTCAATTTTATATGGTACTGACTATTTTTATACATTTTATCAAATGTTATCATATTCTGATTGATTAATTGAAAAATAATCTAGTTAGAATGCCGTAAAATGAACCATTTTTGAGAATAGTGTCATTTTCCATTTTGATATCCGAGAGAATTCACTTAGTGAAGTTTGGGGATGTTTTCCCCTGAATATGCAACATTTTAATCATCAAGCTCCACTTTCATAAGAACGCTCAAAATCATTGAAATTCTTTCAGAAATCAAAATTAAATATGACACTTTTCTAGGAAACGATTCGTTTTGCGGCATTCTAACAAGAGTACCTTTCTCAAATAAATGTGTTTGAGAAATTTATTTATTTATTTATTTATTTATTGAACAAATAACTTCCAGACAGAATAGGCTCTGGTATAAGGAAGTACATAATTATATACCTATAGGTAAACATATCATTATACAAAATATATCAACTGTAAATTGACAAAGAATAATATTTGTAAAAAAAAATGGCATGTTCAATTTTATCCAGTTCGCTCAGAAATAATCAATTTTTTCACTTCATTTTTGAATGAACCTATATTTCTGCAATTTTTTATATTGTCAGGTAGTTTATTGAATTCAGTTAAGGCTGAATGAGTGAATCTTTTTTGTCCGATAATGGAGCTAGCGGCGTCAAGATGAAACAAGTTATATTGTCTTGTTTCATGATTATGAATTTCAGAATTCCGTATCAACATAAAATTCGACTTCAATTTTTTATTTATGATATTATATGATATTTTGAGAGTTTCAATTCTATATATTTCATCTAAAGAATACGTATTTGTTATTTCAAACAATTGATTGGTTGGTGTATCAAATGGGAGACGATACAATACTTTTAACGATTTTCTATATAATGTTGATATTTTATTGAAATTGTTCTTTGAACAAGTTCCCCAAACATTTATTAAATAGTTGATACGACTCAGTATATGAGAGTAGAGAATCATGTTTGCAATTTTAATATCAAGTTTGGGACATCTTCTCAATGCACAAAAAACTTGGGATATTTTTATAGCATTGGTTACGCGTTTCCCACTTCCTGTATGTTCTATCATTTCTTTCGTTCCACAAAACGATTTGTAAGATCCAATGACCCATAATTACCAAATTTCATGACTCTAGGATCAATGGTGACGAAGATATTGAAGAAAGCTAAAATCAAAGACCTCCTTCCAAGGACTGTAACACCCTTAGGAAGAATTATTTACACACATGTTGTTATCTGAACACGAGTATATAAAAGTTCTGGAACACCCTGTACACAAATGGGTAATTTAGTCTTTATGATAAAAAGAAGCAGTGCATGGAATCGTGAGAGTACACAAAATTTTGGACTATAAAAATACATCATTATCGTTAAATACTCTACAAACAATCCTTTATTTTTATGGCCAGCCCCACAACTTTGTACAAGGAAATAAAACTCAATTCGAAGCGCATTTTTAAAATATAGGTTCTACCAGGGACACTTGATTGACATAAAAATAAAGAATGGGAATACTGACTGCAAAGTAGCATCCTTTTGTCGTTTTGGTGTAGAGTCATCTTGGGAGAGTTCCCGTTTACACCTCTCCTTATTCGCTTTATATTCTTTTTTCCTATGGGCGTCAAATGCTTTTCTATCCAGATCTTGTCGACTGCATATATCTTTTACTAGCTTCTTTTCGGCAGCTGCATTCTGTTTCTGCTTGCGTTCAAGTTCTTGCTGATGCTTTGCCTAATCAAACAAATTATTTATCAAATTGTGATTTCTTCAAATTTCAAATGGTGTTTAGGTCCATTCAAAATGCAAATAGAACACGGACATATGACTGATATGAGTTGCATTATATTTCAATGTTGAAAAAAATCTCATAACAAAATATTCAATTATCAATGCAACTATTGTATGTTTATTGAGGTTTATTGTATCTGCTTTATCGATACAGTAGTACCCAACACATATTTTTAACGATTGATAAGCGGCATTCAACAATTATATTTACTCCGCATGAATATATCATCTAATGAATTCCTATAGACTGAACTAAACTTGCAGCTTGACAAAAATATAACATACATTTTCAATGTCAATCTCAAATGTTAATATATCAACTCAAGATTATGTTCAAATGCCACAGAAATCATAGAATAGTAATTAACTTAGAATGAACTGATAAAACCATTTGACTAATTTCACTCTACTTTAGGTGTTTTCAGAAACTTACTCTGAGTTGTCAATTCGATCCAAAGGGGTCACGTGACAAAAAACTCGTGGTCAACGTTTACAAACGTGCCTGGTTAGGAACACAGAATAAAATATTTTTCCTGTGGATAAATATTTCTTTTCACTCTGGAATTAGTGAACTTGTCTCACTTTGTTGCACTTTCTTGGCTCATAAAACCACAAACTTCACACCTACCCAAATTTACTTTCTATGCACTAAATCAGATTATGAAGGTTGAAAAGAAAATTTTTATCAACGATCGAAATTGTTCCCAACATGCAAACAATTTTATTATTATTGTCGTCGTCGACATGAATTTCGTGTAAATTGGTAATGCGCATGCGATGTCCTTTGTAGGGTCACGAAAATTCAACGGTACAGAGGTAGGTGACTCGGTTTAGGTAACCGAACGTTCAGGTTAGGGTTCGGGATCCGATCAACCCGAGTAAGTTTCCGAAAACGCCTTTTGAGAGTTAATTATCGATTGCACCCCAGGATGGTACATTTTATTCAGTGTTACACACTATAGCTAGGAAATGCTTTCACAAGTAAACTTCCCTATACATTCATATAGTCAAAATTCAATTCTTTCGTACATACTGTATGACTAGAAGGTGCCTACCTGTAATCTCTCTAGTTCCTTACTGAAGTTCTGTAGCAGTACTTCATACTCCTTGTCAAGTTGGTTTTTGTGACTCTCCATCTCCATTTTGCATCTGTCTTCCAGTTTCAACAAGGCACTTTGATGCTCCCTGCGCATTCTTTTGTAGCCTGACATCTGCTCATGCATCTCCTCCTTGGCAAAATTATACATATAAAGTGTACTGCCGAGAGTTATTATACATTATACTACACAGGATTACGGCATAAACGAGCTTTATGACTGTTTGGTCTCGGGTATGATGGAAATATTTCCATTAAAGTTCTTTAAAATGACTGGTACAAAATATAGTGTATAAATAGTGAAGGGATGATGATAATATGAGTGTAAAATAGGTTCTGTTCTCACTCATCTCCAGAAATAATATGTATCAGGAACCAGTAGAAGAGCTTTTATCAGCTTGTCCAGATACAGAAAGTTCCCAAAAGTGGAGAAAGAAAAGACTTTAGAAGAAAACAGTCGAATATAATTATTTTTTTCCAAAATGCTGACAGCCACCATCAAAAGATTATAAAATTGTTAATTATTCACACAATTTGAAAATGTATGTATTGAATGATTTTTGTATGATTCTATTTTTTTTTTCAATAGCTGATTATTTGAATTGCACAGATCATATATGTGTGCCAGAGGACGCATGCACGGAAGGTAATATTTCTCTCCTCCCGTGGGAGTAAATTGGCAACTTTGTTTCCTCAAATGATGGAGCAAACGCCTACATTTGATTCAGTGAGTAGATAAAAATGTTTTCACTAATTAGATAATTCCTCTTTTTATGAGTATAAATAACATGGCTGTAGTAGTAGTAGTTTCCGTTATTTTCTTCTTGACAAATACAAATTTGTATAAGAATAGTCAAACTATGAGAACTGAGCAAGCTATAGCTGATGAGCAAGAGTTCAAAGAACAAATGTTCAAAACATGAACTGGCACCACTGTTGAAAATTACAAACTATTCTAATGTAAGTAGTTTTATTACTTCATTGCCACCATTTCAATGTTGTTTTGTTTCAAATTGACTGGAAATCAGTTTCATTGGTAACTTTACTTTGGTGTCACTTTCTTCTGCTTCAAGAACCAATGTGATTTCTAATTAAACATGAATATAAAATAAAGATGACGTGACATTTTGTATCTGTTTGCATGACTTGTGTTTGCATTTTTTGTGGTATTCCAATAAATGCACATGTCATATACTGATTTCATTACTGATTGGAAATATTTCAACTACAGAATCCTGAGCTCAAAACATGAAGATTTATCCCAAATCACCTGGATAAAATATATAATCAGACAGGAGCTGAGTTACAGGGTGTATTATTTGAAAACTTCAAAATTATTGTTACGATTTTTTTTGTAATATGGATTTGCAGTTTCATCTGCGTGATAAATACAATTCAATAACCCAAAACGCCAAAATAATTGATACACATTGAAATCAAAATTATTATGCAGCCTCATGTGTAACGTAAAATATGCTGAATAGTTGAATACATAAACTTCGACATCAACACCCTGACACAAAAACATCCAAATTGAGAATGGATTTGAATTCCTCGCCTCAGAAAACCCCCTAATTTAAAATTTCGTGCCGTTTTGTCACCCTGTTGATGAATTATTGAGAAAAAACGAAATGCAAATTGAAACTTTGACACCCTGTATATTTGTTGTTGTCAACTTTGTGATTGAGGTAAGTTTGGCTAAATCTCAATATTTTTATTCAAAGAATCTGCATAACTGAATATTTTCGTAATCAGAAATGTATTACAGTGTTTCCAAAATTGGGTCTATAAATGGAGTGGGTAATAAAGGAAAATAAAAGAACTCATATTTATAAAAAAAATACATATTTCGAGAAAAATTTAACATCAAAGGATGCCTAAACTCTTATGAATCATTGATCAGGGTTGATTGCAAAACCTAACCGTTTGTTTACGACGAGGTCCGAAGCACCAGTAGTGCCAATGACTTGTGCAATGTTTCCGGTAAAAAAAAAACATTTTTTCAAAAAATTTTTGTTTGTGATTTATCGTATCATCACACCCTATTTTATGTATTGCTCCAATTTTTAGAAACACCCTGTATATCCGTGATCATTGTTCACATTTCTATAGAGACAAAAAAACACTATTCATCCTTTCTGAACTGCAAAAATAAATGTTATTTTGTAGCTAGTTTTGTCACGTTATACTTTGATGGTGCCATCTATGCTTCCCTTTGCTTCAGTCCAGGTTCATTATTACAATCATCATATTCAAAATCAGTTGACTTTATTTTATTGCAACGCCAAAATCATTAATAGTTATTTATTATACAAGGCAAAGATCATACACACACTAGATAAGAACCGTAAATGTAAGAATGGGCAACGCTAAGTTGGGAACCAACAGAGCGGTGACAATCCGCTGTGCGCATCTATTCATTATAACGCCGCGTATTCCACCGACTCGGATAATAATATTTGGTCAACGAATAGCACAGCCGATTAGCCGCCGGTCTGTTAAATCCCATCGGAGCGTTGCCAATTTTTACACAGGCGTTGACTATCTAGTGTGTGTATGATCTTTGTACAAGGGAAAAAAGTAATGGATTTTAGCTCCAGCTTGTGTCGTCTCCAGACGCGTAGCAGAGGGAAACAAAAAACCGTGAGATGAAATCTAATATTTTTCCTGTGTATAATACACAATTTTTTTCTGACAGGAAAAAGAACGAATCAAATCAGGAAAGTATCGACGTAAAATCTGAAGTTTTTAACAGGAATGACACCTGCGTTCCTTTGAAGTAATCAAATATCTGTCAGTCTATTTCTGTGACTTGATTTTCAAAAATTGCGAATTTATTGGTTGTTTAGTGATTTACATAACCGCGAAGTCGAATGGAAGATGGTGTTATTGGCTTGTTTTTCGGAACTATAGCACAACAAAAGCTATCAACAGTGTATTTATATGTGATATATATCCGGGAAAAAAGTACTCACTTTTTTCCCATGGGAAAAAAGTAATTTGTCATTGATATCATGATGTATTTTCTAAAGATCAAACTTACTTGCATGTGTTCTTTTTGCTGCTTGGTAACAATACTAGTGGTTCTAATGGTAGCAAAATTGTTGGTTCCATGATCGGATATTACTGCAACAGCAGCATGGTTCATGGATCGGTGTCTTCTACTGGTTCCATCCTCACCACCTTGATAATTTCATAAATAATTATAATCATGTTAATAATTCGCTATTGAAATATGAAAAGAGATGTATAAAAAAATGGCCAGCATATAATATTTCCATTGTATTTGAAATATATTTCCCCCAACCAGTAGACCAGCACAAAGTTCAACATATATACGCTATAGGCGTTGAATGATCAACTATTCAACTGTATCACTGTTACCCCTCTTTTAGACGTTAGCCTCGCTCACAATTCACGTGCAATGCTGCCGTCTCAGTGATTTTGTATTTTCCGGAGATAATGCGACATTTCAGAAATCTAGCGTTTTTCACATTGTTGACGAAATTTTTTGATATTTTGATCACGTCCACAATTGAGAGTTTCAAATTTTGAGATGGTATGTGTTAGCTGTTAACTTCAGAGTGGGGTTGACTCGATGTAGAGTAGTCTAGGGTCCCTTGATGCAAATTGATGTATTTGTCATCTTATCGGGGTACAGTCAGATCATAGCTCCTTTCTTTTTTTAGAGATCTAGTGACTTTATTTTTGTGTACTGGCGTCCCTCACATTGCTAAAACGTCACATCCATAAGTGCTACAAGACATCTTCCAAAATTTTAATGAGTACTTTTTCATCTCTTGTAGCTCACTTAATATGATATTTTTCAATTCTGTTTTGTAAGAATAGCAAAATATTCTGCGTTAGGCTGTATCAATCGGTTGGATGGCAAACTTGAATTTCTATTCAATAATACTTTGTCTCGACTTGTTTGTGACAAATAAAATTAAATATCACATACACAAACATCCGAGTGGGTGGATATTAAAGAGAAAACAAATGTAACAAATGGCGTGCAAGGTTTCATTTCACTTAGTTGATAATGTCAGTAATGAATTCTAGGTTGGATATAGTTCAGTCTGATTCACTGTTGCGTTCCCATTAACAGTGCTGTTCCTAATGTGTCGTACGGAGTCAGTAACAAAGTCTACACAGAACACAATATTCAGGCAACTTTGTTCTGAAGGAGCTCGTTCGAGGTCGATGGTTCTTTGGTATATACAAACAAATACAATGAGTAGTTAACTTCCGGTCTGACCGGAAGTAACATCAACTTTCTTATTTTAAATGGAAACCCTATTTTTTTTTTCGCTTTATTCAGCATTCAATTCCCTTCCTAATGACATATCACCAGTTGGTATCTAACCAGAAACTAGATCAGAAGAAAATTATTATTCAAATTCACCGAGTAGGCCGTGGAAGCAAAATAAAAGCCAAAAATTGAAAAGTTGGCTATGTAAACCATACGTCACTTGATAACAGTTTCTACTACAGGATATAATTTATCATTCCACATTATTTTTAATTTTATTTTTGCGTATGGCGATAATCTGTTTTGTTATTTGAAGAATATTAATTGGATTTTTTGGTATTTCATTTCAAAAAATGACTTTCTATTATATCATTAGAAAGGAATGGTTATGCTGAATAGTACAGGCAAGAAAAAGTTGTATGTTCCTATTTAAGTTATGGACCTACAGAGTATTGTTTTTTTCCTAATTTTCCCTATTATTTTTTGTTGGGCTTTTTATAACGCCGACGAATGAAAATAAAATATCACAGTAGTAGCAACTGTTATCAATTGACGTATGGTTTCCATAGCCAACTTTTCAATTCTTGGCTTTCATTTTGCTTCCACGGCCTACTCGGTGAATTTCAATAATAATTTTTTTCTGATCTAGTTTCTGGTTAGATACCAACTTGTGATACGTCATTAGAAAGGGAATTGAATGCTGAATAAAGCGAAAAGAAAAAAAAATAGGGTTTCCATTCAAAATAAGAAAGTTGATGTTACTTCCGGTCAGACCGGAAGTTAACTTCGACATGTCAATATGCTCAAATTCTAGCTCTTATGTCATTATATCGACGCTCCAAATTTCACAAACCTACTTCATACAATAACTGAGATATTCCGTAGGCAATACTTCCGTAGCCACCGGGTATATTCAATATAGAAAACTTCTCTATTGAATTTCTACGTGAACGCAGTTCCTCTTTAATTGTTTGCAGACTGGACCAACTCATATTAGGTATGTTTTGTATAGGTTTTATTATTGAATTAAAAAAATTACCTGCGGGCAAACTGTTGGTGCTACTTGATTGACTACTGGCAGAAACACCCACAGAATGAACACTTTGTTCAGAAGTAACTGAATTGCTTTTGGAACTATCACCACCAGTATGTTCGTCAGGAGTATCATCAACGTCTGAAAAAAAAATGCATTAGTAAAAATTGTAGGATGAAAAACGATGGTTTGATACAAAATGAAAAAAAAAACTCAGATTGAATGGAATAGATGATGAAGAATCGAGTCAGAATTTTATAAAAAAGAATATTTCTCTCATATGAGAAAAAACAGCTCGTAATTTTCTTATTTGATGTTATTTATTCATTTCATTTAGTTAGATTATTATATGGCTATGGAATAGTTATTTTTTAGGAGTTATAATAGCTGTTTTATTAATCGTATACGGACATCGTAATCTGATAAAATGCTTTCATCACGTCAATTTTGTAGAAAATTGTTCTGCCAAATCACAAAATAAAACACTTCCGAAAAAAACGCGGGACGACTATGGTGCTCTTGTCAGAATGCAAGGTGTGTAACTTAATGAATCTAAACATTCAAAAACACCAACAGTTGTAATTTCTGTGTCAGAACTCTTATCTAACTAATACCATCCAGTGACTCTAAACCAGATTAGTAAAATCGTGTTCCGTAAAAGTCAAATTCATTAAAATTCAGATAAAGGAATCAGCGTTACTGAGAAGCAGTTACTTCAGTTGTTGTGATCCACATTGAATCTGAACATATTCTTTCGTTTACTTGAAAATAATTCACCAGTGAAATGGGGGTATTGTAAATATTATTGAATACAGATGTATCAATAATTTTTCATAACCTATAATATAAACTTAACCTTACCATAACATGAATCGAAGTGAATTGTCAGAAAAAGCATGCCGCAATATGATCATGAACCAGACTATTGATCCGGAGCGGTTAGCTACGGAGATCACGGAACATATAGATTATTTTACAATGACAGGTAATCTGGAAAACTCGAAGCAGATGTCTCTAGTGAGGTTCGAGTTCATGTCAGCTGCCACTCTTTGTTTATTTATTAGCAACAATGGAATATGTTTACGAAATTTATTAAATTGGCCCAACGATGTTTTGTTTCTTTGAGTTCCTCCACAACTTCTGAAATAATCACTGAATTCAGGTATATCGTAACCTCACTCCTTATTTACATAAGTTCTCGTGCAGTCCATGCCATGTAGATGAAAGATGAACAAGTGCCATCACGCGGGAGCAAAATCGGACATCATTTCTATTGGCAAAGTGCTCCTAAACAAAATTGACATATTCTGTATAATATACGTTAGTGCTATTTGTGTTGGTTGGAGAAAGTGGCGATAAGTTGGCATTTAGAATTGCAGTTATTCCAGAAGATGCGTTGTGTGGATAGCACCAATGAAAAACCCCAGTTTGAATTGCGTTTTTATTGATTCCATATCAGACAATCACCATTTTATAGCCATATAAAAATCAGACGAGCTAAAATGAAAGCACAATACATTATCGATACCTCAGATTTCATTTTGAAACAAAACTCAAACCTTATAGGGTATATAAAATTATAAACGTATACTTACCAATAGTACTCTCAGTTTCACAATTTTCTATCATCAGTATTTTTTTCATTTTCCTATAGTTCAGATTGTCTAGATCCCTGACTGCAGCCTTGGTACGTTGTATTAAATCTATCAAAACGTTAGATGAACGATTCCTTGTGACATACTGATGAGTTAGGAGTTTTGAAGAGTTGGGACGATGACTTGGAGATTTCTGAAATGAGCAAGTAGCTTAGATCATTCAGCCTCTTGCTTCGTTCAATTGGTTGCAAGTAGTAAACAAAGGAACTTCACAATCAGTACACAGTTTATGATACAAAGATCGTTAACTGGCAAGTATCCACAGATCCCTCATCATCATGAGCATATACAATTTGATATGAGAACAGGACACCGGCCAATAGTACAATTTCGTGATCCTAAGTGCACAGACTGAACGGGTACTATGAAACTCTCCAGAACCACCTGTATCCTAGAATCAGTACTATCAAAAATAGAACCGAAATCAAAGTGACGAATGAACAGGTGGCATCCGCCATTCTAACGGCCTATCAGGAAAACTGCCCATTAAAGGAGAAGAAAACCATAGAGGTACACCTTGGTGGAGCAAGAGCCTGGACAAAAATACAAGAAGTTCGACGTCTCTTCAATCGGGCTAGAGAAAGAGGGTGCTGGGACACTTACCGCACATCTCTAACGGCTTATAACAAAGAAAAAAGGAAAGCCAAAAGACACTCTTGGAGGATGTTCTGTCAGAGTATATCAGATGTACCTGCCATCATGAGAATTCACGAGGCTCTCGCCAGAGATCCGACCCAAGAGATCGGCTCGATACGACCGGATGGCTCTTTTACGGACCCTGGTAGGCAAACGTTAGAGATTCTTCTACAGGCTCACTTTTCCGGTAGTCTGCTTCTGGAGGACCGTCAGCAAATTCCATTTCCAATTGGATCGATAATACGACCAAAAAAGGAGGACTGGAAGAATGCCTCAATGGTGGTCACCCCAGAGTCAGTGGAATGGGCGGTGCATTATTTCTCCCCATTCAAGTCTCCGGGAGAGGGCTGAGTTTTTCCTACCCTCTTAGAAAAGGGTAGAGAAGTTTTACTACCTCTCCTGGATAAATTATTCCGAGTGAGTTTGGCGTGGAGTTTATAATATTCCGCTAGACTGGTCAACAGCGAGGGTTGTGTTACCTCGTTCCTATTAAACACTCTCAATTCTAGACGGGCATAGTAGAGAGGGGAATTTAAGAGAACATCCCCTAAATCCCCATCAATATGCCTACCAAACAGACAAATTAACGGATTTAGCACTGAACATTCTTGTAGGAAAGAGCAGCCATTCCTCAGATCATGAAGAAATTGTGCTGGCAGCTTTCCTGGACATAGAAAAAGCGTTCAATAATGCCCTACCACAATCACTCTATATGACAATGCAAGGTAGAGGAATCAGCAGTCAAATGCAACTGAATTAACACCATGGAGAGTCGATTAGGTTTAGGGAGGCAAAAAATTGACCACAGGGCGGGGTACTTTACCCCTTATCATTCCTACTTCACTCTCTGCTGAACGATCTTTCCATGTAGGGAGTGGATTTCCAACGCTACGCAGATGATCTAGTCCTAATAGTAAGAGGGAAATTTGATGCGACGATCTCAAACGGCCTACAAGAAGCCCTTAATACTGTGTACTGATGGTGCGAGAGGAAGCAGATGTCTGTGAACTCCCGGAAAACTGTAAATATCCCTTTTACCAAAAGGCAAAAGGTAGTTAAGCTTCGTCAGCCTGTCCTATATGAAGAGAGCATTCCGTTTGCGGCGGAGGTGAAATATCTCCTCCAACGGCAGCGATAGAAAACATCCTGAACCTCACTCCCCTCCACATTGTCTTGAAGAGGAAGCCAGGGTGGTTTCCTACAAATTCCTGTCACTGGAAAATCATATTAGAGGGGGGCGACTGCTGGACCACTCCGGGATACTGTGAAATGAAAAATCAGCAAACTCTAGAAATAGTTTCCGCCATGTTGGGTACTCAGACACACGTGAAGTCTTTCAAATTCCTCTTCCCGAATAGAGACGAGTGGGTTAGTGGATCAGTCCAATTCCCAGAGACCGAACACGTAATGTACACAGATGGTTCGAAAACCCCTCTTGGAGTTGGAGCCGGTGTGCTCAGCAGAAAACCGAAGAAGGAAATCTCTGTTAGTCTCGGTAAGTATGCTACAATCTTTCAAGCGGAGGTCTTCGCAATTGAGTTGTGTGCTAGAGAGTTGACGAATACACCTCTAGTAAACAAAAACATCAGTATTGTATCAGACAGTCAGGCTGCCCTTAAAGCACTGAGCTCCAACAAGATAAATTCCAAGCTTGTATGGAGCTGTATTGAATCTCTAGAATGCCTGGGTGCAAACAACTTTGCTGTGGGTGCCTTGACACCAGGGGGTGGAAGGAAACGAGAAAGCCGACATCCTAGCCAAACAGGGAACCGAATCTGTGTTCATATGACCAGAACCATACTTTGAGATCATCGCAAGTGCGGTCAAAACAACTATCTCGGACTGGGCGGAGGGGACTGGTACTGATGGGGGACGTTTCCACGTCAGCAATTAGTCCCTGAGACCTTTTTGCAAGGACGGAGGGGAAAAGACTCACGTACTGGTCTGAATTAGCAGGATTACCCCATTCGAAGGCGTTCCTGCCTAAACCATCGAGAAATATAACCAGGCAGATCCTAGAATGGAGCAGGGGTAACCTGCGAATTCTGACAGGACTGCTTACGGGATACTGTCGTCTAAGATGCCGCATGGTAAGGATGGGTCTGAACCAACAAACGGTCTGTCGATTCTGCTGTGTGGAAGACGAAACGGCTGAACACATATTATGTTCATGCTCTTGCTTAGAGAGACTGAGGTTCGACATATTTGGCCTTACCAATTTAGAACCTATCGATTTCAAACAAATCTCACCTTATTCAACCATGGAGTTTGTATAAAAATGTGGATTGTACAGTGAACTGTAACCTCAGGGGTAAGCCACAATAGACTCATCTGGGGTCGCATTGGAGGGGCGGAATTCGCCCCTCTCACATGGAACCTAACCTAAACAAAGGAACACGCCAAAATAGTAAAAAATGAAACATTTTCGTATCCTTTACCAAGGCAACGCATGCGGTTACGATTAAAGTAACAAAATTCATTCGTTTATTTCAAGATTTGGCTTTTGCTGTTGAGTGACATTCTCAAAATAGATTACGGAAAAATAACAAACTGTTATATTGTGCAACGCTACGTGGGTACTTTGCAAAAATAACCCTTCCAGATTTGGAAACTAGAGTATTGTTTTGATTTGTTGAGTTGTTTCAGTTTTAATACAGACCAAACTGCTAAGACACAGTGAATGGCCTGTTTCAGAAAAAATATCTACTCAATCATTTGTAACTACTTGTGGCGATATTTTTCTCAGGTGTTTAGGCAACCTATCGTACCCTGAGGTGACAGGTGCTTGGTGCAGATTACCTACCTGTAAGTACCTACCTGTATGGGGATGATAACGCAAACGCGGTTGTTCTTTTTGTTTCTGCTTTCCGCCTACTTGTGTGGCAGTACCTGTTGTATTATAGTAGCTGTATAGTCTACATTTAATTTTGCACTCTAGCTTTCTGGTGACCTCGGCCGTAGACCTGTGCTACCCGGTACCTGCTCAGGTATGTTACATAATATTAATTATTCCCTGGGCTTGGGGCTGGTGACTGTGTTAGATATTTTCCGGTAAATTAATAGTGTATTTATTTCATGGTCGTAATCTTGCTGATGTACCTTCTGAATTGAAAATAAAGTTGATAAAATGTTACTGATACGTTGTTATCTGGGTTCCAGCCGAATTTCACCTAGCCCAAACCCCTGAGAGTCTTATTATGCTACACTACTAACCCAATCTAGTTCCCTACCATAAACAGTTTCTTCCTTAAAGTTCGTGCATCCGTCATCCGATATGTTGATCCTAAAATGTTTTTATTGGTCAAACATCCTAAATGACTAGGAGGGAACTTCTTCGTACGAAAGTATTCATCTTTCACCGACGTCGGACAATCTTGTTATCATTGATATTCATTATATTATGACAAAAAAAGAATGTTCGTTGGGGATCAGTCCTATATATCTCGAAAAGTGTTGAATAACAATAATGATCAAAATAACAGAGAATTAACTATCATCGTCTTTGTCATGTCACAAAATGACGTCAAATTTTGAATGGTCATTAGTATTTCGGATGCAAGCGATTCGGGTGCATGAAAATTGTATCATTTTGAAAGCACTAAAATATCTGTCCAAATCGTACGTCGAATGACGGATGCATGTAAATGACCCTTTAGTTAATTTTTTTAAATAATTAGCGACGTGAAAATTCATCTACCAATCTGAAGGGACAATCATGAATTTCGGAACGTATTCCTATTCGCTATCTCTCTCGGATTCGCGACTCATGATTTAGTGACAAAATTCATGTTTTGTCACATGAATATAAAATCAAATTTCGGAAACATAAAGATATAAAAAGAGATTTATTGTAAACAATAAGTTTCAATTTTCTGATTTTCGTCATTTACAAAGTAATTATAGAGACATCGTTCACCATTTCCTTGTCTATTTTTGATTCTCCAAGAAACCTCTCACATAATATGAATCAAATTTATCACTCACTCAACACTTTGAATTGTACCATGAAAAACACAGAATACAAAATGAAATGAACTAATACCAAACATTTGACATGAGAGGCTTAGTAGCTTTATTCGTCAACTCAAATTTTTATTCCTTGCGGAAATCTACTTCACACCTCACCAGCTTCTCATGATCTACAAAACACAGATAATGCCAGTTTCAGAATACTGTTCTCTCATATGGGGTTCACCACCCAAACATACGCTGATGCTCTTAGATAATATCCAGAGAAGAGCCATTCGCTTGGTGGGTGATGCCACTCTCACTAATCCTTTGACCTCATTAGAACACCGTAGAAAAGTCGGCAACCTTTCACTTTTCTAAAGAAACTTCCACAGGAAATGTTCCTCAGAAATCTCTGCTATAATTCCATCACTAGCAATACCAGTCAGTCGAACTCGACAGGCCCAATTAGCACATCCTTTCGTTGTGAACCTTGAAATATGTCGAACAACACTTCACCAAAACTCGTTTGTCTATAGAACGGCAGTGCTTGAAAGTATTTCCAAGAACATATAACCTCCAAAAGTTCGAAAAAAACATCTACATCCTCTCCCTATCCTCCCTAGTTACGCACGATGTTCTTCGAACATTATTGGGATTTCCTTTCGTGCACTCCAAGAGATAAGAAAAAAATAATTTTGTGAAGTTCACAAAATTTTTTTGGGTGGGATATAAGGTGAAACTTGATTATCATCATATACTGATACTATTTAAACACGGCTAAACCATTAAAAGCTTAAAGACTCCTCAGATAAGAGATGCAAAACCTACTTATCTGATAAAAACCTTCATTATTCCAAATTTTTTGGGATTTTCTCTCCTCGTTTCTATAAACTAAAAATATGAATATTATTTCAATATACGTGTAGTGAGGACAAATCAGATGATTTGCCCCAAAATGTCACTGCGTTTGAAGAATTTTCCTATCAGAGAGCCTAAAAGAAAAAATATCAAATTTTCACTTATCTTTAGACGTTTCGGGACCGAATCTGCTCCCGTTTTCAACATAAAAAATGTTTTTTATTATTAGCCAAAGTCGTATCTGCCTTGAAACTTTTCAGTTCTCAGTGACAATTAGTGACGTTGGCAATCAAATGGTAAATTCAAGATTAATTAATGAAAACATCCTGTAACTCATTTGACTGTCAACGTCACCAATTGCCACTCAGAACTGAAAAGTTTCAAGACAGATACGACTTTGCTATTAAAAAAAACATTTTTTTATGTTGAAAACAGGTGCAGATTCGGTCCCGAAACGTCCAAAGATAAGTGAAAATTTGATATTTTTTCTATATACCTTCATTTCTCTTCACCAAACTTTTTTCAATACAAATTGTCACTAAGAAGCTAGTGAATTTTTCTTTTAGGCTCTCTGATAGGAAAATTCTTTAAAAGCAGTGACATTTTGGGACAAATCATCTGATTTGTCCTTACTACACGTAACGAGGAGAAAATCCCAAAAAATTTTGAATAATGAATGTACCACCTCTTCCATTAACCTACAGACAGTATAGAAACCTTCTTTTTGCCACTTCAGGCCCACGGTTGAAGACATCTTTTATTGATAATGAATACATACAGGGTGTTTCGGACTTTATTATTGGTTTTGTTTCCATGCCAGCTTTGCAAGAGAACCAGAGGTTGAAAATCTCTGTCTTTATATGCTGAAGAAATTGTACAAAATTGTTCCCATTTTATATTTTTATTAACAACTGAACCATCTTTCTAATTACATTCCACCATTACAACATCAACCATATAATGAGTGTTACAAATCAAATATTATTAAAACAATCGTCCTCAACACAGGGTGTATACAAAATCTCAGCACATATTCCTGAGGGCAAAATAAGCCTATTAAAAGCAACTAACCCCAGTCGGAAATTGCCCCGTTTCCGAATCTTGTGTACATTTTTGAACGCATTACTTCAAATATTGGTAGCCGGTTTTTTTTTTGGGGTACGGAACCCGAATACGGACTTCACTGTGGCCATCAGATTGGCCATTACTTTTATCACAGTGTAGTTCCTTAGTTGTTTTGTTGAAGATTCAATTTTCTGAACATTTTTGAGCAAAAAAAGGTACTCTTGTGAAAATCCGTGGCATTTTAGAGATATTCCGTTTTTTTAAAGGTGATGCAGCACAGGAATATTTGAATTATTTTGAATAAAAAATGTTTTTTTATCTCAGTGATTGTCATTCGGTCAGTGAATATGCGGTGCAAAAATGGATTGTTCAAATTACTTTTCTGGTGCATACTTGTCGAATTTTATTTTTCAACTTTACCACCCTGTATCTCGGAAACTGAGCAATTTCGGACTGAGATAAGTTGCTTTGAATCGGCGTATTTTGATCACAGGAATATGTGCTGAGATTGTGTACAGACACTTCAGAGACACTATGTATTTTATCGCAGACTTGACAGATTTAAAAAATAATGTCCCAAAAATTGATGGGCAGGATTTAGACTTGCTGAAAGAAAATTCCGGAGAGTCGAAAGTGGGCGACCAATCCTTTAGCAAAAATTGCTAAAGAATCAAACGAGGTAAAGAGTAGAAGCTTAATTTTGTTACATTATAACTTGCCAAAACTAAACTTTGAATATCAATTTTTTGACCTCAGTGGGTTACTTTCACATTTTTATTAGTTCCACATAAGAATAAACTCCATTTTCCATGCAGTATTTGTGATTTAATGTATTGAAAACATCCTTAGTAACTGGGATATTTAGCTATTTATTTTATTGTTTAACCAATAGGGATACACCGATATTGTGCTCAACATATCGGCTGATATCGATCGATTCCTAGTTTTATTGGTTCATGAATCAAGTATTTTTCGTTTTTGTTCTGTCATGTTATCACCATCTAGTGGCATAGTTCCAAGGTGGGATCAAGCGATCGCGGCATACACTATAAGACGCTGCCTTCTATAGTCAAAACGTGCAGACCCCTACGTCTACAACGTTACAAATTTGTAGTACAAGTAAACCACTCTAACAAATGGCACTACCTGACTACTTGAGCAAGGTTGGTAGAATTGATGATTATTTGTAGAGGAAGGTTGCCTCAATGAGCAAAACGCGGTGAAGGAAAGTGATAATTCATGACGAGATCACATCGCAAATTTCATGGAAATCTATATTCTACAACTGTCTTCAAGTATATTTACCTATCTACTGTGATCTACACCTTTTTCAATTGTTATTCAGAAATCGTAAATTGTAATTCAGATTTCTCAAATGAAATTCAGAAAGTGTCAATTGTAATTCAGATTAGCTAATTGAAATGCAGAAACTATCAATTGCAATTCAGATTAGTCAAGTGAAATTCAGAAAACTTCAGTTGTAGATTTGATTTTTCAATTGGAATTTAGAAATCGTCAATTGAAATTCGGATATCGTCATTTGTAATTCAGTATGCAACAATTGTTATTTAGACAATGTTATTTGTAATTCAGATAAGTAACATGAACTTCAAAAAATATCGATAGTAATTCGGAGTAGACAAGTGAAATTCAGAAAACTTCAATTGTAATTCAGATTAGTCATCATCAATTGTAATAATTGAGAATGTGTCAATTGTAATTCAGACTGATGGATTTATGAAGGTATACATGTAGAACCAGCGACCAAGTTATATAAGAAAACGTAATTTCCGAAAAAAATATTGCTTTGTAATTCATTACCTGCATTCATTACGCTTGGCTAAACAAGCAAAGGTGACATTGTTCCATATTTCTGAATTACAAATGAGGCTTTCTGAATTAAAATTGATATTTTCTGAATTTCAATTGACCCGTTCTGAATGACAAATGATACATTCGGAATCACAAATGACTCTATCTGAATCTCAATTGACTTATCTTCATATTTGATATTTTCTGAATTTCAATTAACTAATCTGTATTACAAATGATATTATCCAAATAACACTCGAGGCTTTCTAAATTACAATTGGAAAAGGTGTAGAATTATACATACATTTCAATTATCTCATCATGAAATTTTGGATACGGTTACGTCACGAATTACTAGCTCCCCTAACCGCGTTTTCTGACACATGATACCAGCTCTAACCATATTTTAAAATACATGACGACCATGAACTTAGATAGTTTTTTCAAATCTCCAAGATATATGGTCAAATGATTTAATGGTCAATTGACATTTTATCAGTTCAAGGATTCAAAACATCGATGGAACGTAACTTTCTCATCAAGTAATCATTGATATTATCATATAAAGATGAAGACTTTCGAAGCTCACATTTTCAAATAGAGATGAGCAGTTAACAACTAAGAACTTACCTGTAAACAAGCCTCTACAAAATGTTTGAAGACATCCGACCATTCGGAAGAAGATAAAGTTGGTGATTCGTTTTGAGCAATATGATAAAGGGCCGACATTGCATTCATGTTGAAATAGGGTGGCTTCCTCTCAGCTAATTCTATACAGGTTATGCCTAGAGACCAAACATCTACTTTACCATCATATTGCCCCTCATCCATCGCTAAAATGACCTGCAAAATTGACATATGGAAAATTGGCTTCCTCGATCAAGGAGATAAATTATTAACTAGGGCGCTAATGACATAGGATCAAAGCTCATACATTTATGAGATCGAACTTGGTTCGGTTTAATGGCACGTGCGCATTCAGGATCTGTCATACAGAGCTTTTCAAGATGAGCGCTAATGAGCGATTGGACTGATAAGGAATTATTGGCATTCAATTACTTCAGTGTGTCGTTAGGTAAATTCATTTTTGAAACACTTCTCGCGCTATTTTTGTTTATATAATGAATCTAAGCGTTTTTCGAAATTGTTGAATTTCAAAGCTCATTTCGAACAAACATTCATGGGCGCCATTTGGCGATACGTCGAATAAATGGTGAAGAAAGGTTGTCGAGTCACCAATTATAATCAACTTATCAAAAAGATGTTGCGAGTCCTATCGTTGAATGAAACATAATAGGAGGAACCCATGATATTATAGTTCATCCTTGACTCTTTCGAGCAACCAGCATGTCCAAATAAAATAATAATAATAAAATAGGCTAAGGGTACCTACCATAATATTTTTCAAATTATTACTTTCATTTTTCCTCTCATATTTTGAGTAAAACATGACAGGTAGATTTTAAAAAAGTGTATTTTCTATCGAAAAATAATTTTTTAATTAAAATTTGCTATCCTATTATAAGGAAAAAGCGCGCTATTTTTGTTATGCAGCAGACTCTTAAAATCGATTCATCTCGAGAATTGTGAGTGCTATCGAAACTGAACAAGAGTATTATGATATTTTCATATTTTCTGATCAAACTGCCGAAAATTGCATGGAATAAAAATGTTGGGGGAAGAAATGCCCTAGCCCCACCTATTTCTCACGTCCCTGATCAAATATTTCAGAAAATTTTCAATGTTTCCAAATCGGGCATGAAAAGAGTACATGTTCAAAATTTCGTTATCAGAACAAAGAGGGTTTCGGAACTATTTACATAAATCCATAATCTTAAGCTCCCCTTTAGAAAGTTATAGCTCCCGAGGGGGCCATTTCTGGACCCATATTTACCATGTTTACAACAACTTTTTTCACCATTTTTGTTCCTAGAATCTGTAGTTGAAATCTTTCTATGTAATTTCGGAACACCCTGTATATACAGTGTAGTATTGAAATAAGTGCAAATATTTCAAGCCTTGAGTAAGTTCGACGTATACTATCTAGTGGTACCAATAAAAAAAATATAGGGATCAGAATAAAATTTGAGGTTAGACCCCTTTTCCACCAAAAGTTCCAGAGTGTAGCCTTTCTGACGTCACCTCTGTTCACATTTACGTGTGAAAGACACAATCACGCGAATTTCAATCATTTAAATTGGTTTAAAGTGGCGTACTCAATTTTTTTCTCGTTTTTTGTTCAATTTTCGGGATGGAATTTCTTGTTAATTAAAAGAATTAGTGAAAATCTGATATCATGGGAATATTCGTTAGACTGTATCATATGGAAGTGATGATAATATGTACTCATTTCAAAAACGCCTTGTGTATATCATTTAAATTGTTTTAAAGTGGCGTACTCAATTTTTTCTCGTTTCTTGTTCAATTTTCGGGATGAAATTCCATGTTAATCAGAAGGATTAGTGAAAATCTGATATCATGGAAATATTCGTTAGACTGTATCATATCGATGTGATGATAATATGTACTTATTTGAAAAACGCCTTGTGTATACACTCACCGGCATAAAAAACCGGCCAGTACAAATTTTAGCTCAATTTATCACTTTGTAACGTTTTCAAATCTTGTCTGATTTTGATGAAATTTCGACCAAATCATAGATTCATGTTTCGAAATGTTAACCTGAATTTCAGTTCTCTAGAAATGCTGATGTCATTATACAGGGAAAAACAAAAATTACTTTTTTACCCTCTAATTCTAAGCGCCCTGTGGAGAGAGTGAGCAGCTAAACGCAGCTTCATTATGTTCTGGATTGAAGTGTGATCCCTCACTAACACAATGTTTTTTTATTCACGTCGATATCTATTTTTTAATAGAATACAAGTGTTTTAAGAAATTATGACATTTTTCAATTTTCATCAATAAAATGCGAGAAGGCTTGACAATTGTCTAGAGTCATTATGACAGTTAATGAACGATACAAAACGGCACCTCATTGTTTTGGTTTGTGATTCACGTTTGAGTAATATTATTGTTGTTAACAAGTTAAGTTACAAGTTTTGACATAATAATAATGCCGTTAACTGCTGCGAACATTGGTCAAGTGGTAGCTTTGATTGGAGATGGTCGCAGTCAGCGTTATGTTTCTTGAACATTGGGAATACCACGTACTACAATTCAAGACGCCTGGAATCGGTTTCTGGAGACTGGCACATTCAAAAGGCATGCTGGATCAGCATGATACAATGAATAGGACAGATATGATACCAAGCGGTTCCAAATTCGTCCGACTCGCTTATGACGTCACCTTGTGAGTTAGTTGTGGCGCGCTTCAATATAAGAGCATGTGGACAATTGAAATATTTAATATTCGGATGGTTTCAAAGTTCTTGTTTGTGTCTGAAACAACATTTTCAATTAAAAAAAGTAATTACAGGGTGTCTGATTATATTTTCCACCTCTCCAATGTATTCCAAATGTCGTACAAAATAGGTTATTTGAATAAAAAAGTTCAAGATTATACTTTTACAGAATCGAAAAATTAAAATAGTACCTACTGAACACTGGCCTAGCCAGGGAGGGAGTGAGGGCTTTGGGGCTTAAACCTTTCCCTCAGGTGGAAATTTTCAAAATATAGTTCACATTTTCAAGGCAGACATTTTTATGATTTTTTAATCAACAAAAGTTGTAAAACATTATTAGCGATATTTTTCAAGAAATTTCGACTTTACCACTGGAGACAGCATCCTTCAATTAGGTCAACTGCGAAATTTCATTGAAAAATCTTTGGTTGATATAACTATCATGAGAAAAGCTGGTTTTTCGACATAGATTTCGAATATTTTCAATTCTAGATGTTATAAATCGAGAGGAATTTGTGCTCGGAATTCAAATATTCACCAGAAACCTTTTTGAATTCCTACATTTGTGTTGACTATGTTGCCATATCTCGGAAGTTGTCTACAATATTCATAAAAAATGGGATGTTAACAAAATTAATGCTGTTTATGACTTTATTGCCAATAAAAATTTTTCAATGAAATTTCGCAGTTGACCTAATTGAAGGATGCTGAATCTAGTGGTGAAGTCGAAACTTCATGAAAAAAATCCTTTCCGCTGAAATGAAAAAAAAATTGATCAGTAACTGTAGATTTTATGGGGGTGCTCCGGTCTTAGGTGGGTCACACTGTGTGTACTGTAGGTATTCATTTCATATTTTATCATGGCAAATAAAACGCTGTAAATATTGAATAATCCATTTTATTATTTTTGAAAAATTTCTTTTTTTGGAAACAGCAGCATCATGCAATTTACGATGTACTTCCCTCATCCTGAAAAACATTCGAGAACGAGAGAATAATAGTTTTGCTTTTTTATCACAAATTACATGAGAACTCATCTTCACTAATTTTTTCAGGTAATTTCTTGAAATGAAAAAACTATCCTTATTCACGTTTTTGTCACTCTGTTTGCAAAGATGTTTTCATCTACCTTCCAACACTTTGTCTTTAGGGAAGCTGAAGAACTTCGTGTCAGACGAAAATCCTTTCGCCTGATTGTCCACATCCACCTCATTTCAAACAAAAAACTCACTGAAAGGTACCGCAATACAACAAAAAAATGGCTCAAAACTTTTGTAAACAACAATTTCTAACCGTCCACAATGGTTGAACATGACATTCTACTCACAACGTGACGTCAGCTGGCTGAAATTGGCCCCGCCCACTCCTGCGCAATATCATATCTGTCCTTTTTAATGTATCATGCTGGATCAGGAAGTATGAGAGCAACGCCATCTGAGTAGAGAAGAAGGGAAGAAACACTCCAAAACCAAAATTCAAATAAGGGAGTGAGTGGCAGGTTGACCGACTGGCGTAATTTCAACTAGGAAATAGCCACAATGCTCAAAGTGGAATGAAATGTTAAATAAATACGAACTAGTTTTTCTCCTGAAATTTACCATTGTTATTCATTTTATGAACATTGTGTGGAAATGACTTTGAGCTCTTTGTATTTATTCAACATTTCATTCCATTTTGAGCAATGTGGCTATTTTGTAGTTGAAAAATGCATTATTTCATTTCATTTTGATTTTTTGTTCTCTACTATCCATTTCCTTTATTGCATGTGTTAAGCAGAGTTGAATATACACTTAGTGAAGAAACATTACATCAGTTCCTGCCAAAAGACTTTGCTATATGTAGCAGTGATCTTTTATTTTTTGAACTCCAAAATACCTAATTTCCTTACCTCAGGGGCCATCCAATATGGAGTTCCAACGAATGAATTTGCTGGGCATTTAATAGAAGCACTACCAAAATCAGCAAGTTTCACAGTTCCATTTTCAGTTAATAAAATATTTCCTGCTTTCACATCCCTTAAAATGAATCATATAAATCTGAAGACATATATTCATACTACATGAAATTTTACCGATGAATCTTCCCAAGTTCATGAAGATAACTCAGTCCATGCAATACACCATCACAGATGGCAGCAATCTCTTCTTCTCTCAATGGTCGCTTGTGAACTTCTATTATATCAGAAGCTGAACCTAGACAATATTCCATCACCAGCCATGCTGTATTATCCCGGAGATAACAACCTTTATATTCAATGGTGTTTGGATGGTTCAACTGCTGAAGAAACCTGAAAAATAAAAATGTATTCATGTAATTATTTCTAGGTTGCATGGAAAAAATCCAATAATTCTTCAAGATATTATATTCATTTATTAATACAACAAAGGAACGGAAATGTATGAAGAAAACAAACTTTAGTGCACTATTAGTATTCTATTGATTTAAAAATAGGATCATTTGACGTGCGTTCGACAAATTTTTCAGTCTAGTTGAATATTTCACTAGAAACACAGAATTGTTTGTTATAAAAACTGATATAACCATGTATGGGTTCTGCAGCCCTTTTTCACGCATTTTGCGTAATTTCCATGCATTTAATATTGACCCGTTCGCCCATTGTTCAGCTGTATTTAAAAATAGAATTTGTAAAATTGATCCTTTGTTAATCCATCACCATCAATTTTGGTGATACTTTTTTTCTCTCATTTCTTTCTTTTTTTCTACTTCCGGTATAATTAAATTTTTCAACCTGATAGCCTCACCTAGAAAATAGTTTCAACAACAATTATTGTATTGTTTACAAGTTCAATTTTTAATAATTCTTGAATTTCATTTAAAGATGCTGTGATGTTATTGTCCTTATGTAATCTTCATCATATGTAAATAATTTCTATAGTGAAGGTGAATCCATTTATTGAATGAGTAAATAAAAAAATTAATAAATAAATAAATGAATGAATGAATGAATGAATGAATGAATGAATGAATGAATGAATGGATGAATAAATAAATAAATAAATAAATAAATAAATAAATAAATAAATAAATAAATAAATAAATAAATAAATAAATAAATAAATAAATAAATAAATAAATAAATGAATAAATAAATAAATAAATAAATAAATAAATAAATAAATAAATGGATAAATAAATAAATAAATAAATAAATAAATAAATAAATAAATAAATTAATAAATAAACAAATAAAAATGAATAAATGAAGAAACAATACTTCAAAGTTCAAACTGACATCAAGGCACGCAATAGAAAACAGAAAAGCTAAACTTCATTAGGCCTGCAAATTTTGGAGTTGATTTGTCAATACTGAACCTAATGGCACTAGATTTTAAATTCCTGTAATCTGTGATTTGACGAGGACTTGCAGTTTTTCATATGTGAGACAATACCGATGAAAATGGATTATTTAGTAATGGATATAGATATTATATTCAATAAATATCATCTGCATTTAACCTGATAGATGTCAGTAGCAGTACTAAATCAGAAGAAATTAGAAAAAAAGAAGCTGAACAGAGATTACACATCTGGGAAAACCTTCAAAGTTGCAGATAGGCTTAGATACAGTATATGAAAATTTTATATCCAGCTAGGGAGGATAGGGAGAGGAGGCAGGTGTTCGAATTTTTTTTTGGAGATTACTTGGAAATACTTCCTTAGGCAATGACTTCCAGAGTTTTCCCGTTCTATAGATAAACGAGTTTTAATATAGTGCTATTCATCATATTTCGAGGTTGACAATGAAAGGATGTGATGACTGCGCTATTAGTAGGCATATGCCAGCTGAAGCAAAAAAAAATTCCTATAGTAACGGGACATCTTGGTTGAAAGGACATCTTGGGAAGCACAGATCAATATGAATGCAGATTCAGTGGGCAGGAGGAATAAGACTCAACCCCCATACTTATGGGATGTGTCACCCTACAGAACCCAAACATTCAAAGATAACATACAATACAATTCTCAAATTCAGTGACTCTGACACTGTGGAATACCTGAGGTGATGAATAAACAGTATGAATACGGCACAATTATTCACATCAGTCAAATATGAACTACAAAATAGTCAAAATACTCCAACAGTTGAATAAAATTTAATCAGAGAGGTGCAAGCATTACTTGAATACAATTTAAAGACAATTCCACATTTAAAAGAAACACTTGCAATCAGTAGTCATTCATAGGAATTGTTGTGAATATTTCAGCAAAATAGAATTTAATGTTTTACATGGTATTAGCCAGGGACCAGAGGAATAGTTGTTTTTCTTCCATCACCTACCATTGTTTGAATGACTTTTTCCTCACTGTGGAATGATTCTGATATAACATTGCATACCTGATCTCCTTCAAAATATCCTGCCACTTCTCCAAGCTCTGCTTGCCTAGATAGGACATCTTCTTGATGGCAACGATTTCTCTGTTGATCAAACATCTGGCATAGTAGACTGCCCCGAAGCTACCATGGCCGATCTCTCTCAGATCTTCAAAGATCTTTTCTGGGTCATGCTTGAAGAAAAGATCGGCTATATCTGGGTCTCTCAGGCTACCTGGTCGGGGCACAGGCGCCATCGCTTCAATTAGTGACGCTATGCTGACATCTCACTATAAAAATAAATTAAATATATTCCATATGATCCCAGTAAATAATAATCAATAAAATATTTTGGAGATTCATGTATAGAAGCATGAGCAGTGAAATCACAAACATCGCTGAAATATAAATAGTGTCATTTCGTCATGTCACTATCTGGGGGCCCAAGATCAAAGGTAGGAATCCACAGCAGACGGCGCTACCGGCATTCTTTGAATGAGGTCCACTCATCTTATTTTGAGGAATAAATTTACGATATATTACGTTTCACCCCACCAGTATGCTGACACTGACTAACAATGCCAGCAGAGTGTAGATCTGACTTGCTGCTGAATTGTCTCAAACAGTACTGTTTTGTTCGTGCTTAACCATTGAGGCAACTTTATCCACCCTAGATCGCTTCGTAATGGGATCTTGTTCAGAAAAAAGTGGGACCAAATTTCAAAGGTACCTTGAAACACCAAACAAAAATAAGATAATTCCATTCGGTTATCCTACACCCTAGTTAATCTGATTAGACACAGGCCAATTCATTCACCAACACGACCTATATGTTCTGTCTTGGGTACATACTCCACACACGTTTCACTTTCAAGGAAGGTGTCTGCCTCTATTCTACCATGTATCTCTCATGTCATCGAGAAAAAACTCGGAATTAAACAAATTTGATGGAATGTGGTTCCAACTAGATAGCCAGAAACAGACAAAATGATCCATTCTATAGAGAGCTTTCCGAGTTACTGTCGCTGAAGATCGGCTTAATTCAACAGAAAATTTCAGCAACAGAAATAATCTCATCATGAGCGATTTCAATGTACACGACACTCCTTTGTCTCGAACACTTCAACAAAACGGATTGACCTGAGCGACAAACCAAAGTTTTTGCCATCGCTCACGGCATTATCTCAGGAGACTGAGATAGTCTCCGCATATTTTTTCAGAGTTTCCTTGGCTCAGGTGAAATATTAGAGATCATCATGCTAGGATTGGACACCTGCATACCTCATTCTTTGAAAATATCATCACCTACAAAACCCTGGTTAAACAAGGAACTGTTCTAGAGCAATTGCCTTGAAGCAAAAAGCCTACTATCGATGGCGCAAAGACCTAACCTTGTGACTAGAACAGAATATGTTGAAGCCACGAATAACTGCAGTCAAATAATAGACGCATTAAGAAAAGCATACAATGCCAAAATGAGATGGAAACTCATTGATTATCCCAATGGCTCCCGTTCGTCTTGGTCCCTTGCTTCACTAATAGTTCATTCCCACTATTCCCACAAAATCCCACCACTCTTCAAAGTCGACGGCACATTAGCAACAATATCGCAAAGAAAGCAAACATTTTTGCAGAGATGTTCGCCATACACTTCACCATAGATTTCCAGAAAAAAAATGCCGTCAGATATTCCACCCCTTGAAAGTCGAATGCCCGAAATCGTCTTTCGTCAACGCACTATCAGGCGCATTTAACTTTGTCTTGAAACTAATAAGGCTAACGGTCCTGATGGAATTCCACCCATTAGATATTCTCAAAAAGTGTGCACCAGAATTGACACCGATTCTCTGCAAGTTATTTACCATTTCATACAAGTCGGGTGTTTTTCCCTCCTGCTGGAAAATGTTAGTACGACCAGTCCCCAAAAATGAAATAATAACCTAACAACTATATGCCTATCGCTCTGTTATCATTTATCTCCGAAGTGATGGAGAAAGCCATCAACATTGAGTTCATAAAGTATCTGGAAAGTTCAGGAATTATTAATGATAAACGATATGGTACTAGCCATCATGGATCAACTGGAGATTCAAAATATGGGGAATTACTAGCTGTGGCTTTAGATATATCGTAAGCATTCGACCGTGTTTGGCACCAAGGACTTCTTTACAAACCCCGGCAATGCCTTCTTTTACTTTCAGGCAGATCGCTTCATGTGGTGGTGGACGGATTATTCTCTGATAACATAACCTTCAATTCTGGCGTTCCACAAGGATCAATTTTGGCACCAGCATTGTTCCTACTCCATAATACCAATGATATGTTGGGAGTAACCTTATCCACAAATTTGCAGAAGATAGTACTATCGATACGTACTGCTTCCTCTTCCACAAAACTAATTTCTTCCCAGGAAACTAAGAACTCACGACCAAGGCAGGTCAACGTTGTCAATGAATATTTTGCTAAAATCACAGTCTGGGGAACCAACAACCTAATTGGAATCAACGCCACCAGTTTGCCTGGCATATCAATATCTGCTACTCACAAAGTTCGGTATTTCCATCAGCAAAACTCTTCTATAGAAAAATCAAGTCAGATCCACCGAAAAACCTGTTTCACAAAAACTCGGATTTTTATTCCGTTCGAAAAGCTACTTTACACCTCAACCGCTTCTCATGATCTAAAAAGGGCCGATACGGCTCGTTTAGAATACTGTCCCTACATATGGGGTTCAGCACGCAAACATGAGTTGATGCTCTTAGATGCCATCCAGAGGATCCATTCGCCTGGTGAGATACAGCACTCACTAATTATTCGACATCATTGGAATACCGTAGAAAAGTCGGCGACCTTTCACTTTTTTATAGATACTTCCACGGTATTTTTTATTTTCCACTATCACTTGGCAAAAATATGCAAACAAGCCAATTGATAAAATCACGAAGTAATTTTATATGAATTCGGTTTGTTTGAATGGTTTTAACTCGGGTTTTAACAAAGGTAAGGCACGATGCTCTTCGAACATTATAGAGATTCCCTTTCGTGTGCTCCAAGCGATATAAAAGAAAAGAAATTTGAGATGAAAACGAAAAATTTCCTGATTGAATTTGAAGAACGAATTGTATTTGGAAAGATTATTTTCTTCACCAACTTGATAGACGGACAATAATTTACTTTATCCCTAGCAAATTTTACAAGTCTAATTAAATCTGGGTCCTTCTAATATCGGTACGTATGATTTTTTTTCAAAACAGATGTTAAATAACTTCCAAAAAACGATCAGATAGTTGTCTGATTTTGTAGCATCCATTCCACCCCTCTTCTACCCTCTTGCCAAAATAATACAAATTTCAACTTTGAGCTCAGAAATGAATTTTTTAAAGAGTTTCTTCTTCAAACAGATGTAAAATGGGTTTCTGAACACCATTCCACCCCTCTTTCACCCTCTTATCAATATAATTCAAATTCCAACTTAGAGCTCAGTAATTGATTTTTGTAAGATTTTTTTCTTGAAACGGACGTCAAATAGCTTTTTGAACACGATCAGATAGTTGCCTGATTTTGTAGCATCCATTCCACCCCTATTTCACCCTCTTATCAATATAATTCAAATTCCAACTTAGAGCTCAGGAATTGATTTTTGAAAATGTTTTTCTTGAAACAGACGTCAAAAAGCTTTCTGAACACGATCAGATAGTTGTCCTATTTTGTAGCATATATTCCACCCCTATTTCACCCTCTTATAAATATAATTCAAATTCCAACTTAGAGCTCAGGAATTGATTTTTGAAAAATGTTTTTTTTAACAGACGTCAAAAAGCTTTCTGAACACGATCAGATAGTTGTCTCATTTTGTAGCATCCATTCCATCCCATATTTCACCTGATCCTGTTCAGGAAGGTACTTGACATCTGTTTCAAGAAAAAAATATTTAAATATGAATTCTAAAAATTGATTTCTGAACTCAAAGCTGGAATTTGTATTATTTGGACAAGAGGGTAGAAGAGGGGTGGGAATGGATGATAAAGTCTTTCAAGAAGTCATTATTTACCATTAATATTACCCCTTTATAAGCAGGTGTTTGATTACTGTGATATAGATTCATAATGATCTAGGATATATAGCAACTGTGCGTGAATACTGTGATAGATTCAGATTCATACCGATTTAGGATATTCTCTTGTTATATGTTTATTTGTATTTGTTGTGTTCAATATTTACAAAGGTATATACAAGGTGATTCTGAAATAGGTGGTCAAACTTACGAAAACCTCCGTAACATTTTTTTCTGAAGTGACCCCCAAGAAAGATACAGCCCCTCAAAGGGGGGCATCGGAGAATGATTTTGTATTATTATCTCCAACACCTTGTATAATGAAGATCTGAAATTTTGTCCATCCACTTACTATTCAGTGCCGGTTCGAATGGAGTTGAAATCGACTCAAAATTAAATACAGGGGTGTGTCAAAATAAGGAGGTAGGGGGTAAAAATAACCCCAAATTTTTTGTTCATCGCAATTCCAGTTTTTTGACATGAAATTATGAAATTTCAGAGCTATTCACATAAAAAAGGTGCTCTTGTTGCATCTCGATAAAATGAACTATTAGCGAATAAAATTGATCTTTTCAAGATTTCATTTAAATTGCGATTTTGGTATGGACTTAAGTTTAATTATCTAGGTCAAATCTCGCAACTGAATTATTACCTACTTCTAATCGTCTGATCAACTTAGAATCTGGCAGATGACAGTTGACAATGCGTTATGGCGGCTCCAATGTGGCTGACCAGATTTGTGATTATGTATGTGAGGGTTTTGGGGGTTGGAAATTCAGAATTCATTGTCGGAATTCATGAAATCAAAATAGCAGACGAGTTTTGTTATCATGGACTGATCCTATTAAAAATAAAATAAAAAATATTGTTGAAAACAAGCTTTCATTACTTTAACTATTAAAATAAAAAATTAAAGATGAAATAAGGTAAACAAAGACAAGCCTTTATTCAAATGCTCTGAAAATGCGAGAAAAATGCTTTTGGATATCTCACGTAAGTTATTCTGTGAGTAAGGTATTCGATAGCTTACATATCTAAAGAAATCTTCTTCCATTTCCCGAAGCATTTCGATAGAAACATTATTGTCACTGATTTTTTCTACCTCATTTTATTACATTTCAATTCAACATAACCCCAACGAAATGAAACGTAGAATTTAACCCTGAGTTAGAGAGCATAGCAGTAAATGGAGGACTCTTTGAG